GAAACGTCACCCAAGCATCAGAAAAATCTATTTAATTTCAAGGTCTTCCACTCCTGTTTCTTGCCTCTTTCTCCCATTCTCACTGCTGGTGCATTCAAGCACAACTACCACCTGCGAACGATTGTCCTGCTTCAACCCATCACGTCCGTCCTACGAACGTCTTTATCCGATTGTCTTGGACCGAGAGGCAAGTTGATGGCCTGTACACGTTCCTTCTGTCACTCTTCTACAACACACGAGTCTCTCGACACCACACACACACTCTTACTTGCCGCTTCCCTGGCACAATCCAATGTACAGTATTCAATGCAGTAGTTGCTATCAGCAAGCTCTTTACTCCATCGTACCCAACAGCGTTCTTTGCCTGGCCGTGTCTTACAGCTTTTTTCCGTGAACAGCAGATAGCCATCATAGAGGAGCAGCAGCTTTATTGACGTGTAGCAACTTGCTTCAATACATACTGACTTCTTATGGATATGGATATGGGTCTGAATACTGTATTACTTTGGTACATGAGATGGAAGGAATGGATCTATTGACTAGTTTTGTTCCCTTGTTGGCCCATTTTACACGTGATGTCTGGATTTGGATGACATGCCATCAGCCACCAACGACGCCGTAATACAAGCAGTCTTCAACTGATTGAGCTGCGATGGAAAGTGAACCACGAAGAGGGGTGACCAAGGGTCGATGGGAAAGGGAACGTATCAGCAACGATCTCTGGGGGCTTCTTTCTACCAACATTGGATTTGTATTGATTATGGCGGATGGGTTCAATCAAGGGCAAGGATTATTTGTCGCGTTGTCAGAAGGATGAATCATACCATATGCATACGACTTAGGATGATGATGGATTGGAGGAAGTGACAAAGGGGCTTTATACCTTTGACGAAGGAAGAGGTTTCACAGCTACGGATGATATTGGAATACTCGAGCCAAAGTATACAGCATCTATTTTGCAAACATGGATGAAGAATGATCATGGGGGCAGCAATCAAGAATAGAATGGCACAATTATCCCTGTTCCCTCTATGTGATCCACCCGCTTCTTATTCAATGCTGTTCTTTTATCATATTTGCTCGATAAACATCCACAGTACCGTGTCTTAGTACGTGCTCTTCGACTTTTATTGGATGAAAATTGGATTCAACATAATACTTTGGGGATCGTACAATCAGCTCAGATGTGCAAATTGTGGATCACTTGGTTATTTCTGCATTGAAGGGAATGGACATCATATCTATTGACTGGTAGGAGGTTACACAATAGGTTGCACAAGTTGGTTCAAGGAGGGGAGTTGCATAACTAATCGACTGATGAATGTACCTGAACCAAATAGCTTAATTACGAGGGCTGTTCTCAATTGAAGTCTTGAGTGAGCATTCTTATTGAGCTAAAGTATAGGATATTGAAGTGAGGTACGTATAAACGGTAATAGCTGCTTGGCATAAGCGGGCGGCTTCGTGGAGTGCACAAATTGGGAAGTGGTAGGAACGACAAAGAGCCCCTTCTTGTTCCTCACTTCACAAAAAAGGTAAGCTGTCTCCGGCCACGAGCTACAACGTGTTAACAGCCGCCATTCATACAATGTACAGCGCGTTTGGGGTGAACATGTGGTTAATGGCGACACTGTCCAGTTGCAGGCGATACCACAACAAGTACGCGCGCGATCTGCCCATGACTCAAGCTTCCGTACAGCCGCTTATGTACGTTCAATCGCTGCGTACTTTATTATTCAAGTTGGACGATGAGAAACTAAAGTTCACTTGTAGGTTGCTGTTCTCGTGCTCACAAGTTCAAGGGGCGTCGTGTGTCGTGTGTGTTCTTTCATGGTTGTCATCAAGGAGACATTGTTACTTTGGGTATGTCAAGGCATGAAAAGCGAATGCTATCCTTGTTACCTTACATTGCATTTACTGTGGCTTGAATACGCTTTGGATGATGGTACCTGTGACAGCAACAACAAGACATTGATATCAAAGCAAGAACGCTGTACGTTGACTCAATGGTATGCATGGTGTTTGATCTACAATGCAGGACCACTTAATTAACGTGCCTTACAATACAAATGCAGCAGCACATACTGGATCGGATGGATACAAGGTTATTTGCAAACATCAATGGAATGGTATTGGGAATACCACAAGGTAAGAGGTTCATTGTGGGATTGGTTGGATTCAAGTGGACTTACCAAACACTATACAGTGGCAGACCCTCTTTCGGCGATACTATTATTATCAAGGCTGCACGTCAAGAGGGATGTCATTGTATAGTACTGTGCTCTCCTGGGGAATTTTGGCGGAAACAGTGTGACTCAAGATGCGATGGCAAGGCCAATTTGAAGAGCATCCGCTGTGCACGGCCTCCATCCAAGTACGGCTATTGATTTCCTTGCCTACAGAGAAGGTGGATATCTCTTATGATGCCAATTTCAGGATCCAATGAGAGTATGGGTACATATGGTGGCATACCTTGGCGCTGCAGGTTGATTATTGTATTGCACCTTCGGATGGTGTATTTGGTTGCAATTCACTTGTGATCACCATGGTTAGGGCGTCGTGCCTTCTTTACCGAGTTGTCCACAATGAGAGTTCTCAAGACGTCTTCACTTTGCCTCTTTTGGGTATGTTGACAACAAAAGCGTGTGGGTTGGTTTACTTGTTATCTCACATTGCGTTTATGGTAGATTGAACATGTTGGATGATGGTACCTCTGGCAGCAACAGGATAAGGATCTCAAAGCAAGAATGCTGTATGGTTGGCTCAATGGTATGTGTGGTATTGGATCTACAATGCAGGACCACTTAATTAACAAGACTTACAGTGAAACAGCAGCAAAGACAATATGGATGACATTGGAGATACGGGTTTATTTGATGCTTTTGATGCTGGTGAAGAATACCACAAGGTAAAGTGTCCATTATGGAATTTGTCCCTTCAAGTGTGCTTACGAAAGAAATATTAGGTCAGGCTCTGGTTGGGCGATTATTTTGATCAATCAGCACGTCGAGGATGTCATTGTATAGTACCGTGCTCTCCTGGGGAATTTTGGCCCGGAAACAGTGTGACTCAAGATGCGATGGCAAGGCCAATTTGAAAAGGCATCATGCACACGGCCTCCATCCAAGTACGGCTATTGATTTCCTTGCCTACAGAGAGAAGGTGGATATCTCTTATGATGCCAATTTCGGGATCAATGAGAGTATGGTACATATGGTGTTGGCATACCCAGCGCTGCAGGTTGATTATTGTATTGCCTTCGGATGGTGTATTTAGTTGCAATTCCTTGTGATCACCATGGCTCAGGTATGAATGACTCTCATGCTTTTTGGGGACCTTTGCTGAAACGTCTACCATTATTATTTAGAGGGACCATTGCAGAGAGCTACTTGTCTTTTGGTGCTTTGGAGTTTACAAGATCACAGCTATGATTGCTAAGTATTGTTGGATGAGTTGGGAAAATTGTTTATGGTGCATCTTTTATAGGTGAATCATGTCAGTCATGGGGAAGCATTTATGTCTTTTGGTGGTGTCAACCTTTATTGCGTCTCGGGTGGTTGGTTACCAAGCAACGGGCGATTTCTCTGGAGAATGTCAGCCAATGAACGTCTTTTATGAGTGCATTGTATCAGCAACAAACAACAGCATCCATTTCGTTGGTGTCATATCAAGCTTTATCCCATCATCTGGTTTTTCTCGTTATCGGCAATTCGGTGGGCATCCTGAAATGAAGGTCTCTTATCGATTGATCACATCAGCAACAAGGAACAACTTGTATATCTTTGATATCAGCAAGCTTTCTATCTCTTGGTGGTTCTGGTTATTGGCGATTCCTTTGATGGATCTTTACAACTATACGTGTCTTATGGATGGATCATGTCATCAACAAGCGATGAGAGTCTCCGCGTTGACATCTTTGGTGTTACCAAAAGAGGTCATTTATGCATCTCCTCAAGGCATTCATCGTCAAGCTGCATTCGATTTCCAATGAAAAACGATTGCCATTCACATCGCTCTTTAGCCATATGTACGTCACTCCGCAGCTAGGATCTGGTTTGGGCTTTTCGATGCACAATGCTTTCTCGATTTGCATGTGGTCTTGGGCAGCAAGGATTGTCTCGTTGTCTCTCTTTGTAAGGGCTCTTCGGCATCATGTAAGTATGCTATCTTTGGTGGTATCAATATTATTCAACCTTCTCACTGCATATGCCCATAAAGTATCGTTCCATCGCTTTCAAGCCGAGTACCACCGTAGCGGGCCTTATCAACAAGCGGACGATTGCAAAGAACTGGCTGGATTTGGATATCATCGGGATTGCGTGCATATGACTATCATTGGTAAATGATGATCCGTTCTTTTCTACAATGCCTACCAACATCCTCTTTTACTATAGTGTGCGTATTATTCAGCAAGCTACTTGTCTCGTGGTCATTTGGGGTTTTCATGGATGCAGCTGTCATTGATATCAACCTGTTTTCGTGCGTATGGCTATCATTGGTAAATATGGGATGATCCGTGTTTTGGCTCAATCCCAATCAACCTCTCTTCTATTATTACAGTATGTGGGATATTCAACCGTCTGCATGTCTTCTGGTGCATTGGGATTTCTATGGATGCAGCTGCCATCGGATGCCTACATGTTTCCGTGCGTATGGCTATCATTGGTAAATGATGATCCGTTCTCTTCTTCAACGCCTGCCAACCACCTCTTTTATTATAGTATGTGGGCTATTCAGCAAGCTACTTGTCTTCTGGTGCATTGGGATTTCTATGGATGCAGCTGTCATTGGTAAATAATGACCCATTCTTCCTTTCAATGCCTACTAACACCTCTTTCATGTGGGTTATTCAATGACTACTTGTCTTGTTCCCTTTGGATTCTTGATGGATGCAGCTATCATTGGCTGTCAACAGGGGTTTATTCATATGGCTTTCATTGGTAATAGTGGGTCACCCGTTTTTTGGCTCCAATCCCAACCAACCCCTCTTTTATTATAGTATGTATTGCTATTCAGCAAGCTACTTGTATTTTGGTCCTTTGGAATATTCGTGGATGCAGCTATCATTGCTAAGTATCGTTCTATGGGTTCGGGAAACTGTTTACCGTGCATCTTTTATAAGCGAATCATGTCAGGGTCAAAGAGCAACGTCGACAGCATCCTTCAGTGTCAGCTTGCCTTATTACATCGTTCGATGGTTTTCGTTACTAGGCCACCTATTGGACACTTCCTTTTATAAGCATCTGCAGCGGCAAGACAACAAGTTCTATACCTTTTGGTGTCGCCAAGTTTTGTCTCGTCTTATTGTGGTCCTAGTTGTTGACAACCCTTTAAATGGATATCCTGCTACGCATGCCTGTTATTGGTGGATCATATCAGCTACAAGCAAGAAGCAGCAATGAACAACAGAGCCCACATCTTTAGTGTCAGCAACATTTATTTGACCCTCTGGTGGTTCTCATTATTGGCAAGTTGATTTCAAGAGCCCTCTTCACCGCATGTATCTTATGGATTTATCACATCAGCAACAAACAACCATGTTACGTGTCCTTTTGGTGCTATCAAGGTGTATCCATCTCTCATGGCATCCATAATCAAGTATCGCTTGGAGAAACGGCTGTCAAAATTGTTCACTGTGTCCAGGAGAAAACATCTCTACAGCAAAGGGAAATGTGTTCTGATTACTGGGTGTATCAAACACCGTGGATTCTCATATGACACTGGCTAAGTATTGCTACCATTACCTCAAAGATAAGTTAGTGATATGCAGTTTTATGGGCCATCATTCCATCAAGCTATAATTTCGCATGCTCTTTGGTGCCATCAAAGTCTCTCCTTACAGCTGTTAATGGCGAATCCTATTGAATTGGAAGACGAAGATCAACATTTGAATTTGGGTGGGTGTCTCACAAGCAAGCAAGCGATCTCTATCTTATAGTTGTGGTTGTCAACGATACCGTTTCCATGGTTTGGAAATCAGCTACCTGCAAGTCGTCTCTTTATCGGTGCCATGGCGGATCTCATTCCTCAAGTACTTGTATGGATACCTTGGACGTTCTCTTGGCTTCTCGCGTATGCTTCTCATCAAGGCCGGATTTATTTGTTGCAGTGCATGATGTGTCTCTCTGATGACGCCAACCTAAAAAGGTCGCTTGATGGCAGCAACTACTGATGGGTAGAACGGGATGGTGCCTTGCTCTTTTGTGTAAAGCATCGTTGGCAGTTATGATTTACATGCGACAGTGTGGTCAGCCCTATCTTGGCCCTATCAATTGCATTTGATGATTGCTGCCTTAGCCGTTGGAAGTTAGACTGTTACTCAGTGGCCTTGTGGTAGATATGGGATCATGTATTGCTTTTTGCTCTTATGGGTCGGCCTCTGTTGGCGTGGGATGCTATCCTTTTATCAGACCGAACATGTTGGCTCGAGCAGCACCTATAGAAGATGCTGTTGTTTACAATGGCAGCCCCCGTTATCCGGCTTGGTGCACCGTAGGGGAGAGGGTGACGGCAAAGCCTTCGCGTGGCCATCCTTGTCAGTACATGGGTTTCCATGGAAGCTAATTTGCCACCTTATCATTTATGTATTTTTACGCATTCGTGAGCATCACTAACAGTACTCTAATAGCTATATCAAGTGGCCAAAAGGTACAGGCTGGGAGTCGAACCCAATGAGAGATGATGCCCAAAGTTGCACTACCTGACCAAGAACCTATTCAATAATAGCAGCATTCATTATTACAATAAACGCCTTTTCCATTGTCTTTGTTCATACACATAAAGACCTTGGTTGTTGGGTTGCTGGAAACCGAAAACCATGGTGTAGTATAGTTGAGCCGAAACAAGAAGCCAAACCAGCCAACGCCTTGATACCAAACTTGCCCTCTATACAAGCTAACACGTCAATGGAACCAGTTCGACTGCAACATTGGACTCTGAATGTACCTGTTGACACCAAGCGTAGAGCGGGAATAGCAACGAGCAAAGGAAGCAACCATGTCGCCATGGCAACCACCAACCACGCTCATTCCTCAGCATTTGGACACACACTCGCTCCCTGACAATGCATGTTCAGAACTACATTAACACCTCACAGCCAACAAGAGCACTCTTTGATAATACATTACCTTGATCGAGATGTCGTGAATGGAATAAGGAAAGGTGGAAGAAAAAGAAGAGAAGCGTTGTCTCAAGTCGTGGAGCTGCTGACCCCCAAGTTTAAATCCCTCTACTGCTATTACACTGAGGCCACTCAATGACCCCACACGTACCATCCACCCATCGTCATCATCACCCTCACGATAGACAATAGGTACACGTAAATAAAAGAAATGATGATCCTCAAGTATAGCAAAAGGGTGTGTGCCATTTTACACTTTACATGATAATGATGATCCAACAACAGCCATTACCTTACTACCAGGTTAGCTCGAATCATGAAAGTTAAATGATGGGCATGCTGGGCTGGAGCAAGACAATCGTTCGTATGCATTGGATTGGACAACAAAGGTGCATGGGAGGAATGGGCTATTAGCTGGCATTTTGAACTATTCCTAAATAGTGTACAAGAATCATGCATCGCCTGTGCTGAATGACTCAAGTTACACAAACACGCCCTCTGCATCTTTTGCTCTATAGTCATACTACTTTACACTAAACAAAGACCACTTCTCATATAGCATCATGCTTACAACATAGTAAAAACATAAAGACGCCTGTATCTATAAACTTTACAATCAAACGTGGGGTTTTTATTAGAGCAATGTGCTCGGTTTGGCCAACTGCACTCTGGGTGCCAGTTTCACGATCAAGCTTGCCAATCCCAGATTTCGCAATGTCACTACCAGCCAAACTGGATCTGTGGGTCGACCTCTTCGACGACGACGACCGAAAAAATATTTTTTGGGCTAGTTGCGACATTGAACGTGAAACTTTCACACAAGGTGCTGTTGGCCAAGCCGAGCCCATTGCTCTATTAAAAACCCCACGTTTCATTGTAAAGTTTGGAGATATGGCTGTCTTTATGTTTTACCTATGCTGTAAGCGTGATGGAGTTGCTTTTTCCTAGTGGATGGTGTCGGCAGCATTAACGGAAAGATGAAGAGCTGAGTGAAACGACACGTGGTGGTTACACAGACACGTCCTTGACAGGTTGCTACACAAATGGATGATGATGATGATGATTGCCCTTTGTGAAGGTACGTAAGTAAAACAGCATCCAACCATGAAGGTGTGCCAAGGTATGTATCACATTTGCATGTAGGAGAAGGTCGAGCTGCATAAGCCAATTTGCATATGTAAAAAGATACGTATACATATTGAATGGGTCACTCATCCTGAAACTCAATGGAGGGATCTCTTCACTTTTTCTCTTCTCAAGCTCATCCCACTTCCCACTCCTCCTTATTGTATCACAAAAGCCATGTACTTCTTGCATGACCGATAACCGGACCACCTTTATTATTCCATCTTCGAAGCAATATTAGTATGTAATCCACAAGCTAGCAACCTCCAACAAGCGTGTAATGAATAAACAATGCTTTATTTCATCCAGCTACATAGATAAAGGAGCGGCATTGAAAAATGAAGAAGGTGTGAGTGTAGAATCACATGGAGTCAATGGGTATCATCGTGCCATTGTATTCTTGGTTGCTGTCATCATAAGCGGTATCATCCATAATCCCAAAACAGCTGCTGCGCGATTTGACTCGTGTATCCAATCTCAATCCATGGTGATCAACCAACATTCTTCGTCAAAGATAAAAGCCCCCCTCTCGACAATCCCATCCAATCCATCATCATCCTCAGCCGTATCCACATTACATGGTCCATCGTTCCTGCTGACTATGCGACAAGTAACCATAGCAACATTCCGAAATTTCTCATCACCACTGCACTTGATTGTACCCATCCATCATGATCATTGCAAGCCAAAAAAGAACCTTTGTATATTGGTGAGAGTGTGATTTCTACATGATGTATGCAAAGTGCGACTTGTTTAATTTGAAAGGACGTCGAGCATACTAGTAAAAGGGATGATTCTGCTAGGTCAAATGCAATGGTTGCCATTGCTATTGGATCATATCATGTAAAATGACAGGCGCCAGTTGCTATAGGTAAGCGATAAGATGCTTGTTGGGAGTGATGACGAGACGATAGATTGGTGGGTCGAATTCAAAAAGGAATCTTAGTATGATTGATTGTTCATACCATACATCAAGGTTTGAATGAAACATGGTGGCAAAATTCATCACGTCAAACAATACCATCCATCGGCTACCACCATGTGTTCAAATCCAAGCGAAACAAGACGTTGTTTGAGTATGTTTGCTTGAGCACTGTTTTATGTCGAAAGGACGTTGAGATGGGGCCTTCATTGATAAACATTGTGCACACGTGTAAATGTTTCCTGTCACCAAAGCTTCAGCATGCGGGTAATGTAACAATATCCCTTTATTAGCAGCGGCAATGTAGTACCTTTCTATTGTAAATGAGAGTCCCATTCATCCCATGACATGAACGTCGATCTAGCTATTGTATCCCTACTAGTAGCTTTGAACTGCAAGGTGCTTCTTGCTCCTTGCGGATCATCAAACGTCTGGTGCGTAATTGGAATTGTTGCCTTTGGTTGTAGCTGCTGAGTTGTATCAATTCCATAGAGTGCTTCTAATGCCGTATTTGAAGACTGTATAAAAGCAGTAGATGCTGCGGTGTCCAAGGTATTACTTGCATCATCAATCAAAAGTGGGTAATGCTGATTAAATATGGGCGGTGGTGGTGTTGATCCAAATGATTGCTGATGTTGCTCTTCTTTATCAGATCCAAGGGTTGCATCACTGGCGGCATAGTAGGTCTGGTAACCAAAACCGCATTGCTGCATTATGTTTGACGAGGAGTATTTTGCTGCTAATGATTTGAGGATTTGTGCTGGTCGGCTGCCACATTGCTCATCATCTCTAAGGTATATACCAGCACATCTTGCAAGATTATGTGACCCCAAAAGCTTTAGGACCCCATTGTTGCTCTCAGCATGGATTGTGAACACGCTAGCTGCTTGCATGATAAGACTAAACAAACATGACAAGTTGCTATTAGTGCCCCATAATAATGTTACACGCGCCAACCCAACAGAGTCTTACCATCCTATATATATCCATGGCATATTGGATGGACCCATAATCTCTAGCTTCTCTATGATATCGATAATACCAATAGCTGCCTCCGTGCATACTTGAAGTGAATGCAATCCAAAATCAGTATGAGCCATCTCATCATTCGAGATAAAAAGTTGATGGATAATCAGCTTGAGAGAAAGCTGATTCATCTTAAGGTATACTAAAATGGATCGATTTGCAATACACGTAAGGCTTGATGAGCATTAAAATTCAAAGATGATGCTAACTTACTATATTTTGTGCGATCGGCTTGTGCAGCTAGAGACGTAGCATCGAGTTGTCGTAAGATGCTGATAGTATTGTTGGTGATGGAATCCACTTCTCTTGAAAGCACGCGAGCAACATGGATTTGGTTGTCTTTTTCATCGCCCCATATACTTGTCGAATATAAATGTCCAACAATTTGGCTGAAAAGCTGAGTAAATGGAATGCAGTAGATGAACATGTCATAGATAGGCCGTTGCTCATGCAAATCTTTTTCAGCCTCTAGGAGCAGGCTCGGCATAGGGGTGTTAACATCAGCAGTCCAACTTTGATTATTTGGCGGTATCTCGTATGGTGTTGGCATTTCAAAATCATAGTCGCCTTCCACGATCATCCACCTACGTGTATATACTATCATCGTTACAAATGCGCATAGTCATCAAAGACATTGCGTTATTGTACCTACGGACGTTTGGTGTCAAAAGAGATCTCGCGATCGGTACAGTAGGCATAAAACCATATGCGTCGTCTTAGCTCTACTTCATGTTGAGCAAGGTGTTGCTGCCTTTCATTGTGATGAAATCCTAGATCTTGAGCCTATACAATCATCAATGTTTGAGTTTACAACAAGCTTGTACCTCCACAAAGGAGAAATGACACTTACTATGCGAATAGCCTTTATACATGGTGGGATCACAGGATAACATAGCAATCAGAAGAAACGTCATTGTAATCCTTCATTGGTATACTTACGGTGCCACACATCAGCCTGTTTGTGAGTCAAGGATAATGAGCATAGTGCCAATAATGGGTAAACTACCATGGCGATCGTATCCATAATTACATACCATTGCATCCGGTTGTCCTCTTGTGCTTGAGACTTGTGATAGACGGAAGCCAACAGCAACAAGGTACAAATACCACTGATGCTGGGTTTTCGAAATATAGATTCCAACACCTTTGACGCCTTCGATTCCAAGCAACAATGCAAAGATCGTATCGTATTGGCTGTAACCTTGCACTTTGTTACCAAATCCTTTTCCTTGATGATGAAATGGCATGTAATAGCGCATATGGCGTAAAGCAAGTACTCATCAGGCGCATGTGGATATTGAAAATAGTACTGCCTCAAGAATTCAATTCTGTTGATGATCGGTACTCCTGGATGAATATGATGGAAATAGCTAGATACGTGTTTAGCATCCAATGTAGTATAGCGCCTATCAATTCTTCAGCAAGTCATTCAAACCTACAATTCAATCATAGCATCGGCTAGCTCCAAAGTCATGAGGGGTATCTCTTTGAACAAGTGTAAGCGTTGTTGTTGCCAGTGTTGCCAACGTGATAGATTTGTGTCACCAAAGCAGCTTGATCCATCATCCGCGGATGATGTGGTATCCATGGGATCGCTATTGGTCACCATGTCGCCGGGATTTTGGTTATCATCCATCGCTTGTAATTGCTCGCTAGACGCACATGCTGGGTCATGCATAGTGTTGGATGGATCAATTGAAGCGATCTGTAAATGACTCTCTCTTTCATCGTTATGCGATCGGCTGCCACTGCAACAAGTGCTGGATGCCGGTGATGATGATGAGGTGGAAGAAGAGCTGGTGTATTGAGATATTGGCGTTGTTGTTGCATTATCCTTGATGCTGCTTGTCGTGAGTTTTATACCTTTACTGATAAGCTTTTGCTCCAAGCGATTGATGCGTCCTTCTATTTTCCGAAGGTAGTCTGGCGTTGATTTCTTAGGGCGTCGTCGTTCGTTAACATGGCACTCGACCTTCTTCTTGATGCATGTGCTACACGGGTACGTGTCATCAACGTCGCAGCGCACTTTTCTTTGTCGACAAATGAGGCAGCTTTTTCTGGATCGTAGTCGTTTGGTCTGCTTTTGCGTAGCTGTAGTTGCCATGGTAATAGGAGTAGTGGTAGGAGAGCGAGAAGAAGAGAAAAATCATATCGAAGGTTGTGTGATCTTGTTAATCATTGTGTCATGATGAACCCCCCGTAAGTGTTTTACAAACACGTAGTATCATAATAGCTTCTTGTTTTTCTTTAAATTCTATCGTGCCTGGCAATCAATAGTAAGACATCTTGGCATCATCCATATAGAGTAGGGGGAGGAGCGACAATCTTTAGTAGGCTCTCAAGGTGTGGACACCATCAAGATGCATCATGCTTTCAATAAAAGGGAAGACATGATGGTTGATGAGAATGCAGGTTGTTGCCCTTGTCTTGATAAAAATTGCTCCTGTAGTTCCTCCTCAAGAGGGCAAGCTATATATGTCGGTGCATGAAAGTTATGCTGCTTTTGCATCCGCCCTTCGGTAAAACACATCCGATGGAGATCCCAATGAGTGTGGCGTCTTACTTTTTGCGTATCACGTTGCCCAGGATCCACTCCATAAAGCATAAATGTAAAGGGATTGAAAAAGTATGGAAGAACACATCCTGCACCAGTCAATTTACAAGAAGAGGAAAACAATGAATGTATTGCTTCTAATTTCTTGGTTGATCCAACAATAAAACGAGGAAAGAAAGGGGGGCAATTATGTAGTAGAGTGAATAGTACAAATGGTAATAGGTATATACAAAGAGAGAGGGTGCTTACAAATATGGATCCCACTCATTCCATGTCATTGCTGTCGGGAATTCCCAAAGCGCCAATTCAGATGACAAACCAGCAGCATCGAATTGTACATCGATCGTATTAAACTCGTCAGTGGGAACAGCTGTCAAATGCATCGGCGGTTGGTGTTGGGTGGAAACCATGACAGATGAAGGAGGTTGCTGTTGACTGGAATCCATAGTTGCGAGAGGTGATGGTGCATAAGATGGATAAGTTTGCATGGACATTGCTGGTGGTGCTGAGTAAGGCATATCACTTGTAGCATTGGGTGGTAGGTTTTGATTAATGGCAGGAGGAGCTGATTCATGTTGGCCACTAGCATTAGCAGCAGAGGCAGCAGCAGATTCAAGCAAAGCATGGTCCTGTTGGGTTGTTGTCGCCAAAACTTCTGGATCATTGCTACTACTTTCCATGGCAACCGAATACTTTGCAGCTAACGACATGAGCATCTTCGCCGGCCGGCTATCACGTAATTCCTCATCATTCAAATAAATGTTTGCGCATCGTGCAAGGTTTCTGGCTCCCAGCTGTCGAAGGAAATTGTTGTCACTTTTAGCGTGGAATAGAAAGATGATGGCTGTTTGGAAAATGACACTTTTGAACGGCATTAGCGATTGCAATCATAGTAGAGGACACCATCAAGTATACACTTACTAGCTTATATAACTCCAGGGCATACTACTTGGTCCAATTGCTTCCATCTTCTCCACACTATCGATGATTGAAATGGCTGATAGCGTGCATACACTAAGCGAATGCAATGCAAAGTCGATATTGTTCACGTCGCGATCCGAAATAAAACAGCGATGGATTATCAATTTGAGGAATTGGTGATACGCTATCATGAATTCTATAGAACATAAATGAGAATGGGTATGATGTATGTGTGTGTGCGTGTGTATTTTACCAAAGTTGGCAGGATCAAGATCATGAGTTGTTACAGCTGACAGATCCTTCGAGGTACGTTCGCTCAATACATCCACCTCATCCGAAAGCTTTTTGGCCACTTCAATCGACGGCACGTTTGTTGAATAAAGTTCGCCAAGAACTCGACCGAACATTCGAGAGCAAGGAATGTAATAGGAAAATATGCCATATATGGGTCGCTTTTCTTGTAAATCTCTCTCTGCTTCCAATAAGATCTTTGGAACAGGCTCATCATCATCCACATCCCGCGTATCACGATCATAGCTCGAGCCTATTTCGTAGGGCGACGGCATCTCGACATCAAAATCACCATCCAAGATTGTCAACCTATATATATATAGATGCATGAGCACCATGTAGACCTTTTCATTCACTATGAGTACTTACGGCCTTCCCAGTGAAGCAGACATTTCTCGATCAACCCCATATACGCTGTACCATACGCGTCGTCGTAATTCAATTTCATGTTCAGGTAGGCGCCATCGCGTGGAACTTCGATGAAGTCCTAAATCCTGAGCCTACAATAGGATCCCTGTGAATTAGCCTAAGGACATGAAAACAATGTTCAATAAATGATCACATACCATTCGTATTGCCTTGTGGATACAAAAGAAAGGGACATCGAATGTTGTCAGTAAAAGTAAAACATCTTACAAGAGGTCAATTCATTACTCACTGTGCCAACCATGAACCTGAAGAAATGCTTTGTCAGTAACAGCATAAAATTGCATTAATCTATCACCCCTTACCATTGTAGCCTATCGTCATCTTGCTCCGCCTGGTCATTCGTTGGAGAAAACGATGCCAATAATATAAGCGCGGATACTGTATTTATACTGGATCTTCGAAATACAGTCTCTAGCACCTTCTCTGCTCTTGCATAAAGTTGCTGATTCAAAGCGTACATTGTCTCCACTGATATGTTGTGCTTGGCAAGCATCTCTTTCTCCTTTGCCAAGTACTTTCCAGCAACCGAACACACCGAGTATAGCAGGTACTTGTCTGGAAGTTGTGGATTTTGAAAGTAATATTGTTCGAGAAAGGCGATCTTGTTGATGAATGGTGCCGTAGGATGAATATAACGGAAGTACCTAAGCACATGGAAATGAATATCCAATGACCCTTGGTGTGTGTGTATATATGAAAACTTACAATTCAATGAGAGCGTCTGCAAGACCCACGGTCATATTGGGTATATCCTTGAATGGCTCAAAACGACGTTGACGGCATGAAGGGATGGATCCTCCTTTTTCACCACTACGACGTGAGGGTGCAGGATCGGAGCTAGGTTGTTCAGATGTCAAAAGGAGATGGTCGTCTTGCTCATCATTGCCAGCTTTCTCGACTTCACAATCGGTATCACGTCGTCTGTCGGTAGCAAAGGCCTCCTGATCAAGCGTATAATATCCAGAGCTACGTCCAATATAAAGCGTCGTATTGTAATCTGAGGATGGTTTTGGGCTATTGGTGCTAGCATAGGGCGAATCGGAGGCTGCTCGTGTACGGCTCAAAATCTCGGTGGCATTTGCAGCAGCAGGTGATGAAGATGCTGATCGACTCGATGAAGGTGATGAAGATGATGATAAAGATGCTTGTTGGCCATCGCCGCCAGTATCACTGCATTCGCTCATGCCATGATGTGATAATGTCTGTTCCAAACGCTTGATACGATCCTCGAGTGCTTCGACATAGGCTGCTGGCATAGGACCTCGTTTCCTTCGCTTGGACAAATGGCAATCGACACCAAGGCTGGTGCATGTGCTGCAAGGAAAGGTATCGTCGGCATTGCATCGTGTCTTTCGTTGTCGGCAAGAATCGCAGCTCTGTCTCGCACGCAAGCGCTTCTTGGCTTGAGTCTCCTCGTTTGTTGATCCCATGGTCGTGGTTGGTTGAAATGGCGGATCAAGTTGGATCGATGACAGGTGGAGTTGCAAAAGAGAAAGGATAGAGAGCCGGAATGAATTCAAGGGTCTGTGTTGGAAGAGTTGTAGTGCCAAGAAATGCAAACAATCACAACCAATTCATTGAGATGAAATAGGTTTCAAAGCCCTCCTAACACAGACCAAAGGCTGTCAAATCCCAACCCCCCAATCAAGTTGCATTACTTGGATCCCCATCAATGCACCACCCTCACTTTTCCTACTCATCGGCCCGTCCCGGAAACCTGTAATGCTTATGTGTCATCGGGGCAAATATTGTTTCTCAAGTCGAAATTAAATGAGCGGCTAAAGCGAGTAGCTGCTGTGTGTAATGCCGCGCATTCTTTTTGGGCAAGTGAGAGTTACATCAGTACTACTTTTGCGGGGTGAGCATTAAAAGGTTGGTGGTTTATACATCAGAGTCATCCCAAGTAGAATGGATGCAAGGTAAGCATATCTGGTAGCCGATCATAAGAGAAGGGGAATAGCGAGATGTACGTGCCCCGATACTGTACTCTATCACTCAAATAAAACAATGCTTACATTGGAGTCATAGCGAAATGCCTTAATGATCTAGTCCGTTGCAATGAAATCCTGCACCTCATATGGAGTGCCTTTGAGGGATCCTACTAATGGCTTTATTCATTTGCATTTGGGAAAAGAGCATGCATTCATATACAAAATCATACGAAGCTAATCCACGAGACCACCTTGGTGCTGCTACTACATGTTTACATGGAAACGATTATGATACGAGTATCATAGCAACCCCATTAGCAAAAGAGGATAATTACAATAAGAGCATAGGAGGAGATTCACAGCATAATGTGGTCAGCGAAAGATTCTGGATAGACCGCTCAGCTTGGTTTCTTTTCCCTTATCCATTTGCACACAGACCGCAGCGAGAAAATATGGCCACCAGGAATCCAAAAGGTGCACCCATCGATCCAGAGTTCTACGAACAACCATCGACTATCGATTGCTTTGAGGATATACGACAAGCCTTGATTGAAGAGCTACAGCAAAAGGACATTGAAGCGCGCGATCTCTCTCTCTTGACCTGCCAGCTACAACAATTCCAGCAAGATCACTTGGGCTTCAACACCAAAATCTCCCATGCACCACCTCGGATACCCGCCAAACTCTTCAAGTTGCAACCCAATGTACGCGAGTCCACTGAATCGCCGTTATATACCATCCTTCTCGCAGCCTATACACATCGTGCCAACCACCAATGGCGGAAATGGGACTTTGCACCTTCAAAAAAGACAAAGAACGTCGATCTCATTCAGTCAATACGCGACCTGTTGGTGCAATCAGGATGGATTCAAGTACCCAAGGTCGCCTTTTCCAACACTGTCCCTGAAGCCGGTCGTAAGAGCTTAATGTCAATGATCAAAAAGATGCAATGTAAGTGTGTGTGTGGGTGTGATTTGTCGAAGGGATTCATTCATATGACTCATATCGATTATCCATGTAGTGTATCACTGTGAAGAAGAGCAAGAGGCAACACATGTATTGCATGGTCCATTACATCAATATGAACCAGGGGAAGAGGAATGGTTTCGCACACTTGAGAAGCGTGATCACAACGTATTAGTGCATTGGTGGTACTATCCCGATTCGTATGACAGCTGGTTGCCACAAACCGATCAATTTGCTGATCCAGAAGAAGCTCCCGTGCATCATGGTGCTTGGCATATCGCAACTCGATGGCTTCAAGATAGCGTCTTGTTCAACGAATTGATGAATGAAGAGGATTATGAGGAATTGGATGAGGACGAGGATGAGGAAGAGGATGAAGATGATGCTGCAGCTTCCACCACAGCTCGCCAAACACCTGCCAGCGAGGATAACAATCCACCCATATCAATCAAAACCGAACAACCGGCACCAGAAGTACCAGCTGCACCCTTACCAATATTGAATCCAGGTCATCAGCCCATTGTACGCATTCGTGATATTGAAAAGGAACGACCTCAGCTCGGCAGTCGACAAAGGAAAAACGAGTTTGAGCCTTATAGCAATGGTGATATCACCAACATCTCCCGATACACAGCATCTTATATTGAGTTTCCACCAAAAGAGCCATCACCAAAAAGACATAAAGCTGATGATCCAGGTAAAGAAAAGTTTACAATTACATTGTTATCACTTGCATACTAATTTTAAATGCATGTCCAGACCTTGATGCAGCTACAGCCATGCCGTATGATTACAACACATTACCAATGCCAGAATGGTTCGATGAGAACGCCATCCATCAAATCGAGAAGGTGTCTTTTCCAGAATATTTCAGTGTTCAAGGCAAGAAGGCGGACAAGTTGGCTCAAGATTACATCAAGTACCGCAACTACATGATCGACTCTTACCGCAAGAATCCTGGATATCACTTGACCATCTCTGCTTGTAAGGCTGGCTTAGGGATCGACCTTGTAGCTGTTGTCAGGATACACAGCTTCCTTGAACAAGCGGGTATTATCAATCAACAGGTACGTTTTAAGGATTTTGATTTGCTTAATCATATACTCACTCCTCGGCAAAATGTAGGTTGATCCTCGACGACGTACTTTTGATCCAATTGTTGAGAGCGAACCAGATGCACAAATCACCGAGAAAGGAAGTCAACGTGATTTTGATGCAGCCGTCCCTGATATCGATTTCATGCGTAAGCTCATCTACGAGGAAAAAGACAGCAAACCAGAGTCACAATGGGATGTGGAGATATACGACAACGAGAATCCAGATCATAAGACAGTCTTCCAATGCTCCACCTGCAAGCAAGATTGTAGTGATGTGAGGTATCAGAGCTACAAGTACAAGAACTATCAGCTATGTACCGATTGTTTCCTTGAAGGCAAATTTACAGCCAACACATGGAAGGGCGAATTTGTACGTATGGAAAAGCCTGAACCAGAGGAAAGCATGGAGGATGATTGGACTGAGGAAGAGACGTTGAGACTCTTGGACGGCATTGAGCAATATGACGAAGATTGGCTGGCCATCTCGGAACATGTTGGTAGTCGCACCAAAGAACAATGCATCACGCAATTTCTTCAACTCCCTATCACGGATGATTTCTTATCGACAAAATTATCAGACAAAGAGCTCGAAGAATTACCCTTTGGTGATCAACCCAACCCAATAATGACATTGATTGCCTATCTATCGGGTCACATCAATCCAGGCGTTGGATCAGCTGCTGCCAAACGTGCGATCAAGGAGCTTATTGGAGAAAACACGGATAAAGATACACAATCGGATGCAATGGATATAGACGATGAATCAGCATTCACAAAGGAACAAATCAAAAAGGCAGCCATTGGAGCACTTGAAAGTGCCGTGGAGGAAGCAAAGCGACTCGCATCGTATGAATCTGAGGAGATCCAAAATTGGACACGATTAGTGACCAAGACAGCTGTTGATAAGCTGATGATCAAGGTGCAACAATACGATGAACAAGAAACCTTTTTGGAAAATGAGCTCAAGGAATTGGGAAAGCAAAGCGCAGCATTGGCCAACTCTCTCGAAGCATTAACGAAGCAATATCCAGCATCTACCAGCAGCAGTGCCGCTGTCACACCTTCAGCTTCTACACCATCCAACAAGCAATGAGATTATCATCACCCTCCTCCTCATCACCACCACCTTTTTCTTGAACATATCCTAGCCATCCTTTGTAATTACCACACTCCTACTCGTTCTATCATATAAAAGAGCACAAATGGGTATTTTCGGAAAAGATCATGGAAGTTTGATTGTTCAGTTACGTACATGGAATGTGATGATGTTTCACCCTATTTGTTCATCAAAAGTGCCGAGGTTCAATAATACAAAGCATTGGTTGAGATATCAATCTTCCCGCCTTTCGTGTCGTCATTGTTTTAACAATGAATAACAATCATGATAGAAAACAAACATGTCAACATGTGAAATATTAGCGGATGAGAAGACTTTGCCAGCTGCAAACTTCTTTTTCTTCATTTCCATCACAACTCGCTTACACCCAGCACCATTTTAATCGAATCTTTTTCTCGGCCATGAAGTTGCTCACCATCGCGACAGGTGCGAGTCTTTTGGCATTGGCGTCTCAGACGGCTTATGCAGCTTCTTGTTCTGGTGATCTCAAGGTGACCTCGCAAGGTGATCTTGAGAGTCTCAGCACATGCAAGAAGTATCAAGGCACAATCAGCATCGATCGTACAGCCATCAACAAAATTTCCTTTAGCGGAGTAGAGGCATTGTCAGGTGATTTGATTGTTAAAGACAATGACGCTCTCTCCACACTCGACCTTGGCAGCATTAAAATCGTCGATGGCCAAGTGAAGCTTGAAAACAACAAGGTCATGAACAAATTCATTGCAAAGTCGCTTACGGGTGTGCGGAGCTTTGAAATTGCTGTGCATCCAGCCTTGTCAACGCTTGCATTTGCTGCCGGACTGGAACAAGCGGATCGTTTCATCGTTTCGGATACTACCACTACACGCATCGATGGTCTCAAGCTTTCAAAGGTGTCTGAACTTGTCATTGATAACAACATTTATCTTAAATCGGTTGACTTTGGCAACATGACGGAGGTCTCTTCAAGCCTTAAAGTGTCAGCCAACTCACCCAGCCTCAACTTGGATGTAAGTATAGTGAAAATTTATGCATGAAGGAGAAGAACGTGACTAATGTGTCCATTGATCATAGCTCAAGAATGTCAAGAAACTCAAGGATGCTGCCTTCCGTAATCTTGCTGGTGTCGCATTGGATAACCTTAAGCAAGTCAGCGGTGATATTTCTTTCATCTCCAATACGTTTGGGGAATTGAGCCTTCCTGAAATTTCGGATGTAGCAGGCACCCTGACTATCACCAGCAACAGCCAACTTTCCAAACTTGGATTGCCAAAGCTTCAACGACTTGGTGGTGCCTTGTCCGTTGGCAACAACAACAACCTTGGAACCATTGACTCGTTCCCCAAGCTTGAAGAGGTGGATGGTACTTTGGATATCACTGGCAATTTTGATGAAGTGCAATTACCCAAGTTGGCTGATGTAAGTTGCACACACAAAACCACGAGTGCATAATACACGTTACTCACACACAAGGTATGTAGGTACGTGGTGGCCTTAACGTGCAAACATCCAGCAGCAAATTCTCGTGCAACGATATGAGCAAGCTTAAGAATGGTGTCATCAAAGGCAACTCATTCATGTGCAAGGCAGCTGTGGCCAAACCAAAATCAGGAATGACTGGCAAAGGCGGTGTCGGTGGCAGTGGTTTTGATGATTCCTCGGCTTCATCCATTTCAATGCAATTAGGCACAATCATCTTTGGTGCAATGAGTGTGGCTGGTACATACTTTTTGCTTTAATCCTCGTTAGCGCTACGTATACATGGGACATTTTTACCGCCTTAGACAACACACACACAATATATAAAACATCAACTTAATAATGGCACATGTGCTTGGATTGATTGATCGATTGTTAAGATACAAATGTGTATGAACGTATGGAATAGATAATGCATGATGAAAAGAATGAAGATGTTGTGGATGAGGAGGTCAAAAGCTATTTCGTCGATCGTATTTGGGTTTGTAAATCCAAGAATTGCCCATCACGCCGCGTCCTTGACGTGCTGCTTTGCGATAGTATTTTGCTGCAAGATGCATATCCTTTTTGACACCGATACCATGATGATAACACTGTGCTAAATCGTTTTGTGCATCGGCATCACCAAGGTCAGCAGCCATCTTGTAAAAGAACACGGCTGCCTTTTGATCCTTTTCGCACTATACATTCACAAGTTAGCACCTATCCTCGTTGTTTCAATGAACCAAAATACATACACCCCAGCCATGATAGAATGAGACACCTAGCTCGTATAAAGCTAAGACCAGCTCAGCACTTGTTGTGTCTGCCACAAAATGCTCCAAGTTGACAATAGCATGCTCAGCAGATTTTTGCAAGTATCGGAACGCGTGCTTTTCGTTCTTTTCACATCCCTATCATCATTGAATCACACCTTGGTAAGATGGCACACTCTCATAACCTTAAAGAAAAAACACGTTACCCATCCATGGCGTAAAGCAAGACCATAAAAAAACATGCCCATAGGGGATCCCTCTTCTGCTGCATGCTTGAATTCGGCCGTAGCTCGATCTACATCACCACTTTCATGATATTGGATACCACGTTGAATGCATTCATCCAATGGCGTAGCAGGTGAATCGGGTGGTACCAATGCATTTGTTGGTGTTTCCAGCAACATGGATGGGAATGATGATGATACATCGTGGGTATCGTCAACAACCTTGGATGATACTACATGTAGGTGCTGCTGCTGTTGCTGTTCATATTCCTCCAATTGTTGTTGTTGTTCGCTGAGTTCCTCGATTTCTGCACTCGACGGTTGAAGAATCGGGAGAACTTGTTGCACTCTGACACGCGAATCAGCACGTTGTATCCGCGGCATATCCACAGGCTGTTGTGCAGCTGGCTGTTGTAATGATTTTTGTTGTTGTGTCTTTGTGGTGGTAGTGGTGGTGGTATTGGGTGCATCTTTGGGTGAGGATGATGCTGCTCGTTTGCCTCTCAATGATTTGCTTTTTGCTAATTGGTAATAGAATGATGCTTGCCGAGAAAGCTTCTTTGAGATCGTACTTGCATCTACATGCATTTTTGGTTAATTTGGTATCATCCTCCCTTTTCGTTCTACATACCAAACTTCTTTTCTTTTCGCGCTTTCGCTTTATTCGCCATGTGTGTTTGATACTACATACACCCAATTTAAGTATTTAGAAAAGCCATGCATAAAAAGATGTGCACACACACACACACAGCGCCCATGTCATGGCGTCATAGTACCTGCTCTCGTTGCCGATGAAGATCAGAAACAAGATCCTGTATTGGGTGATGGAGCTTAATTTAGTATCGTTGTACGACAAGGTTGCCTGAGTTTTCTTTTATTACATGAAGGTTGGTCGTCGAGTGTGAGCGAGGAAGAGCACCGCTGGTATGTGTGAGAGAGAAGTACTGGTAAGCAATCAACGTGTGAAAGAAGCGTGTTCGAGCACAAGCATTTATTTACCCAGGGCGTGAAAATGATGGTAGCATCAGTGATGAGTGCTGAGAAGTCTGTAGAAATAATGAAGAGGATCGTGGCGGGATAATGATTGGTTTGTTCAGGCCAGCTGATAAGCCATTTGCATGTGATGATGTTGGCGTGGATACTGTTGAACGCATGCCAATGATTGACATGATGCTGCTAGAAGGAAAGGAATGTAAAAAGTGAGAGAAGAAAGAGAAAGTGATTAGCACAAGGAGGAAAGGCACATTGTGTATTTGGAAGAGAGTATGGTTACACAAGCCTACAAATACAAAATCAATTTTTGGCAGCAGTTCGAGGCCCTCTTGGCACTAAAATGTACACCTTGTAATGTTACATACCTCGTGAGCAGCATAATGATTACCAACGCCATCTTGAAGCTATGTATACAATCACTTTTATAAAGATCAATACATCCATTATCGATCATCTCCTACCCATAACAATCCTGCAATGCATGTTTATTGCTTGACATTGCCGGGAAAATTCCGGAGAACCGGTTGATGCGTCGCGTGGCCTCCTATTCCTTAATAGTCGAAATCATTCCACGCAAGGTAAAGGCTGTCATCAGCCCCTAATTATAAACTTTTGCTTTTGGGCGGCATCCGGGCACACAAAATTACGCGTATCCAAGGCTGTGTATGGGCCATGTTTCAGAATGATGGTGCAAAAGTCTACATACAGCATACGGGGGTAGGTGGAGGATGCCTGTCACCATCATGATCGGCGCGAGTGTCTTTGTCGTTGATAGTAGATACTCCGCCATAATGCGATACGAGCTTTCATCGTGTCGTCAAAGCGGTGAATGCTTCCCTGCTGTTGTCTTTGTTACACTACGTGATACGAAGATCTGGGTCTTCATATACTTGCAGTAACAAGCAAACTTTATCTTCATTTGTGGGAGAAGAGGATGATTACAGAATATGAGTTATGAATGTATTACATAGGTTATAACGACGCAAGTAAACTTTTTGGTTTTCATACACTAGCTGTGTAAGCTCTTCTACCATGAAGATGGGGAGGGTGAATGTTCTTCTAAGAATACAACAGGTGTCCTTTTTTGTGTGCAGAGCAAAATGGTGGGTGGGGGTATATCATCCAAGGATGGTGTCTCAATTTCCGAGGGATCCTCTACCAGCCGCTAATGATGGCGTGCGTCTTGTGGAATCAGCAAAAGGTGGATAAGGTGGTGTTTGCTGTGCCAAAGACCTTAACAATGTTGGTTGCTTCATATTATCCGAGGAACATGTTGTATAAGCACTGCTGGAAGTTGGTGATTCCTATATAAATGTCACTTCGTTAGATCTTGATACAACCATTGCATGAGCCAAAAGCCGCTTACAAACCTGTTCTGGTTGTGCACGTCGTTTCTTTGCACTTTCTTTCAATTTCTCCCATCGTTCTCTATACTTGTTCATAAGTGCCTGCTGCTTCTCATTTTGGATCTTGAGTTGACGATTTTCCTCTTCAAGCTCTCGAACCCTCGATACTACAACGAACAAGGTTTTAGTTACCATGATTAAAAACCAATCCAAAACCAATCCATCCTCCATTACCTAAGTCTCCTGAAGGTCGAAGGCATCCATTATGGGTATTGGTACTTGTAGTCATCAATGCAGCTGATGATGATGCACGCATTGCTGAATAATCTTGACTTTGCATAATACGTTTGGCCTGCTTCTTCACATCACTCCTGAATTGCATGATGCTGCTTTTCAATGCATTACGTTCTTCGGCCGCCTATTGTAGAGTCATTTGTGAGTATCCACCAACATTCACATGCTGTGTACCAATGAATCGTTGTACCTTTTCAAGCGACTGTACTTGATGCGTCAAGTCGTTTACACGCTTTCGGAGCTGCTCGTTTTCTGTTGCATAGTCATTCGATCTTTGACAAAAAGAGATTTCATATAAGGGTATTGTCGCAAAAGACCAAACGGATGACTTACTTGGAAGACGAAGATTCCGATCCATTTTGATATTGCTGAGGATCAGGGACGATGAAATAAGACTCCATCATCTTTGACGCCAAATGATCATCTTCATCGTCCATGTTTGTTGCAGTAGTAGTAGATGATTTCTGCTGTGTCCATGCAGGGGTAGGATTGTCGTATTCATTGAGCGGTGCAGATGTAAAGGCGACGGGATTCGACAAGTTGTCCATAAGTTGCTCCACTACGCCCCAAAACTTGTTGAATGGATCAGCATCTTCATCACTATCCTCATCCTATTATTCCATTTAATGAGAATAGGTTTCAATAACCTTATACTACTACTCTTCACTTACCCTGCCATCCGATGGCAACACAGCATAGGATCCTCCAATGGCAGGCGTTGATGATCCATGAGTTGTTCGCCCACCATGATGTCTTTTACGATCCCCGGCAAGAGCTTGGCGTAAACTCCCCATATCAAAAGAATTGCTGATGGTGGAAGACGACGAAGACGAAGAAGAATGCTCGTTGATAGATGAATGAGTCGCAGAAGGTGAATGTTGTTGAGTAGCTTGACGACCTTTTTGTATCTTGATGACCTTCCTTTCCAATTCCTTAGCCTTACGTAAATGATCGAGTGCCAACAACTGCAGCGTCTTGCTCGCCTATAATCCGGATTAGGTGTCGGCCCGTAACACATTATTCACATATACAAGGAAAGCGTACCACTGCGTCTTGCGTATAGGCAACGGCTTTTTGGAATTGCTCTATTCCAAGGTAACAGTTGTGTGAATATGGGATATGAGAACACTATGAATGAAACATACCAGCAGCTTGGGAATGGGCCTCGGCAGCCTTTGTCCAATCTTCCCGTTCCTCATGATCTTCTGCTCGGCTGGCATACGCATGGCCCTATTTCAACAACGAAGCAGGTTGCTTTCTTGATTAACACCATCATGAGCGATAGCGTATGATATTTGCTTACAGCATTGACCGGTGTGTCAGGCATCATGGCAGGTGGGTTTGTGATCGCGAAAAAAAAGGAAGAGTACACAAGGTTTCAGCAACTGACTTTGAAGACCGGACTCTGCATAATGAGCGACACGCATTATCCGATATTCATATAGCGCTTGTTCCCACATTGTTTCCCGAGGATAATCAATACATCATCAATGTATCATAGTTGTTCTACTACTATTCATAAAGGATATCTACAAATATGTACATCTTCCAAGACGTGCGTTCTTTTGGGGGGATTCGAGATGGGCTGTGCGTGGGGAAAATCATTCTCGGTTGGTAACCAGGCATGGCATGAGAGTTTTATGTATTCAATGATGGATGTGTTCTATCTTTAGCGGTATAACCCTCTTCCTTTTTAAGCATCTCCATATTCCAAGGAGATGAAAAATCCTCCCTCATCACCATCATCACCGATTTATCAGGTTGTTGTGAGGAGGAGGAGGAGGAGGAGGGGGAGAGGTCACATCGTAATGTGATGGGTGGTGCACGGTTCATATCATTCCCCCGTGATACAGCCATGTAAGTAGGCTGATTATCTCTTCCTCCATCAATGGTAAATCCAAATGGTATGTAACACAATCAAGAGAGTGATCAATGCATGATATCCAACATTTTCATATGGGGCTGTACTATGTTGTGTATGTAGCAAAAGCGAATGATGAAAGGGTACTTTTTTTTCAAAACGATTCATTGTCAACAAAAATTACTACTACTAAGAACGGGTATAACGTGTATGAGAGAAAACATCAATGCTAAAATGCTGTGTGTGATATGCAAATGAGGGTTATTAGGCAATACCCAAACGACGTGTAAGACTGATACGCTTCAAACGCCACTCGTTTTCCGAATCCTGTATCCTCCTTACTACGTCCTCTTCACCAACCAATGATCCATTGCCTACGACATAGGACTTGGCAAATGTGTACTTCCATAATACAAGAGCATCGACGCCGGCACCTTCAAGCATGTGTTGCAATCGTGATAAACGAGTATGACATTCGTGGGTATGGACTTGTACATAATCAATCAATTCGGCGGGCAAATGCTCTTCCACATCTTCTATAGTGTCACTCTCTGAATCTGACGAGGATGTTGTTGTTGACGAGGAAGCATCCGAATGGGTGTCGTTTACCGTGGGAAAATGCAATGAGGCTGCACGAGGATGATCGCAGATAGAAGCTGGCCTTGAGTGCTGCTGTTGGTGGGCTGACCATGGTTCATCACTTTCATTGTGGACAATGTGGGAGAGTACGGGTTCAGACAATGGATCATATTTGAAGCAACCATGACGAGCAAGAGCATGACTTAGACGCCCATAACGTTGTGGATAAATTTGTGTTTGTGCAATATCGGATCGGATGCCAGAAAGAATCCATGACAACGTTACTCGTAACCATTGGATTTGAATATGTGGAGGAGAATTGGTTGGTATGGATGTTGTGTGATTGGGATAAGAATAAAAAGATACGCCTGCAGCTGATGGATCATTCAGAGTGGATGGATGTACGTAGGACAATGAGAGAATCAGGCCCTTGTCACCCACGAAATGATCAGGCGATTCTGAAGGACCCCACGATGGTAGTTCATACGTTCGTTCAAGTGCTGGGTTGTATCCCATATGGAAGAGGATCAACGCTTTGTCCTGAAGACTGATCGACGTATTGGATGCTGATGCCGCTGCTGTAACAAGGTCTGGTGCTTGACTTGATGACTTCCACTCGCTAAAGTGTATCTGCATACGTCGGTGACAGGTACTAAAAGGATTGTTCGCATCTACTGTCATGGGCACTGCTGTCATGGAAATGGGACGAAACTCCACAATGCGATTGGCCCGATCGTACGAATGAGGCACCAACTTGACCACCACACCTCTCCTTTTATCACCAATCTTGACGTCGACGGTATTCCTTTGCTCTCGAATCCTCAAAAAGATGTATTCTTCACCCATCGCTTGCCAAGTCTTGCACACGGATCGTATCCGATACACATCAGCCAACGGCAAAAATGACATGACGTGAAGCAATACTTCAGGAGCCAATATAGATAGCATACTCTTCTTGTTGTATGATGACATGGTGTTGTATTCAATAAATGGGAATGTGTTAAAGAAAAAAAGAGAAAGCAAGGGTGCGCATAAATGGGGGTTGCTCTCTTAAGTTTGCATTTGTCCGTGCCAACCCAGTTTGGTGATCGAATTTGCACAACCAAACCTTAAAAACGTGTCGTTTTGAGATCCTTCTGAGTATTCAAAAAGAATAGTCTACACCGCTTCTTTTATCATAAAAACAACTCTCATCATGTATCATACACGTCGTTTCATTTTCATTCAAGAGCATGGCTGCTGCCATCTTTTTCTTTATGTTACCGCGGAAGAATACCTACAAGGTTACAAACGTCAACAATGGCACAACAAACAACTAGCAATGTGGCAGAGAGAAGTACTACTTGTTTCAAGATGCAATCTTGATAAATTTTCAAAAGGAGAGTATGCGTGTTCTCTTGCCTTTACGCCACGTTGTACCTTTATCTATAAAAAACATTATCTGATATGTATGTTCCGCGGAGTGTATCCCGCTTGGCATCATTGACCAGCCCCGTGAATTAGGTGCCCTGTGCTACGAAGCCGCTTTGGTGATACAATGCTAAATACGATTCACCTTTGTTTTTGCAGGCAAGGGCGGGGCTTGCTGCATTGTAGTTGTCGTGTTACTCATGTACAACGATAGCCGTGGGATTTTTGTGGTGATTGCACCATCTGATTGGGTGCAGCTGTTGTTGCCTCCAGTGCGAATGATGAAAAAGAAAAGCGCAGCAATGGATATTTTCAGCCGCACATAGCGTAATCTAATGCGTGTTGAAGATAAGCTACCAGTAATGAGCTTGAACGAACGAATGCTTTAATGCGAAATCTCTATGATCTGATATTAGATGATAAGATCGCAATCCATCTTAAAAACACAACCCTGTGAAATATAGGATGAATCTGTTAAAGGTTCGATATACTACTACTTGGACCACAACATCCACACGATTTAGTGACACCGATATTGTGATACACCATCTACCCCATGGCACGGTGTTTGTGGGCAAAAACATATCATCATGTACGTACTTTGATATACCAATACGGTTTTGTGGTATTCTTCTGGATTCTTATTATCCGTATATTGAGTTATAGACGTGCTACGAGAAGTGTTACATTTCACCCAAGCGTTATGAAGCCAATGATACTGCACCCATGAGAGGGAATCATGCGACCTGCTAAAGTATCCTTTGTAAACATGCATGATGCTGCTTGTTGACTACCTGAAACGAGTAATAATGTGAAAGTCGCCGTATTGGACGTCGTTTAGGAAGGAGGAATTGGCATAGCGCTGCTTCCAAACCCGTTTGTGGATGAGTGATCGCAACATGCTTCGTCAGCTACGTTGTTTGTTATTGGCAATGTGAGGAAGAAGATAACGACAATAGTTAAGGCGTTTGCTGACCACCAAAAGAACGCAATGGGTGATCAGCCGTGAAGAGCGGAGGAAAATTGAAAGATTCATGCATTGATAGACGATGCTTCCGGCACATAGCCATCCTGACAGCGTGTCATTTGCTCTATCAATTGAGGATTTATCCATCCGAAAAATTGGATCCTGTAGTGAGAGGCTGAAAGAGGTAAGTGCGTCACTTGCTTGCCAGCGGACAAGATTGCCATTTCAGTAAGCCAAAAGATGTTGTCAGCCCCATCATAAAGTATTCCACTTAAACAATCTGAACAATGTTGATACTCCTCATGACGATCTTTGCGCTATAGAACAAGCTAGCTTTGATAAATTTCATTAAGCATAATGAGCGGAGGGTGGCACATCCCATCCGTCAAGGTTGTTTCTTTGTATTTTTCATTGTTATCCATGATGATGCATTTCGCACTAGTGAGTGGATGGGCTCTCAAGCATCATTATACAAGATTTAAATACCAAAAGAGCGAGGTGCGTTATACTATGTATAGCATACAGCCTTTGTTCAAGACACAATGAATCAAGCATATCCTTTCTCGTCCACTCTTTTTCTTTATCACAGCATTTACGTACAAATTCATTTCTACATTCCTCATACATCTTTCTATAATAGAACGCATCGTACCCACACACGACAAGGTTCAAATCAAGAAGCTTCTATTCTTTTGGCGTTAACGGTAAAAAGGTGGATGGATGGGCGTGAGATGGTTCTTCATACGTGGTGGTTATTTATATGCAGTAGGATGTTTGCACAAAGAAGGATGGCAGCTTCCCTCAACGACTCTCGTGTTTCAGAAACCGTTTGGAGATCAAACATCATTGTTTGCCATATGGCTTGTGTGTTGAGGTTGGTGTTGGCTTTATAGGCCTTGAAAGCGTCGCCGACATCCCAATCGCATGCCTTGGTTTTAATAAAGTATGGTGTCATGGTCAAGGCGTGCTCATTCATGTATCCCCGTGCTGATCCGTGCCGCATATCCCCACAAAGTACGACCGGCACTTCATCTGTATACGCTGATCGCCACCATGGGAGTTGGGAGTGGTTCCCCTCTATTTGCACCATGCCAATTTCAGCACCCGACGTGGACCATGGCACCAAAACCAACTTTTGCAGATGATTCACGGAGAGATAGCTATCGAAAGTAACAAGGTAGCGTGCATGAGTAAGGACTCATCAAGCAACATTATCAGGCTTTACCTCATTACAAGAATACAATATCACTATGAGAGTAGGATAAAAATAAAGCACTATGAAAGACCACAAAGATCAGCGTTTGTTCACAAAGTTTGCAAGAAATGGGATACGTACAAAACCTTGGGAAGTTGACCTTGTAAGCAATCAAAGAAGTACGACAGAGGAAAGAGATGTGTGGGAGTAGATGGGCGACAACATCCTTTTATTATGCATTGTGGGCGTGGGGAATGATGCATTGATAAATTGATGCATGAGCTGATAAAGTGATGGGGCGCACATACCAGGATTCTGTCTGAAGAGCCTAGTGCAATGTTGTCGATGCATACATACATCGCCTAAGTTAGGCCAGCTACTGTAGTAAGCACATCATCACTCTCAAATTTATTTTCTTTGCAATACAAGCGTCGAGAATCGCCACTACCTTTTGTCTACTACTAGCATGCAAGCTAAGAAGCTTTAGTGAATGGAATAGTGTTGTGGCAAAAGAACAAGAGCATCTCGATACGGTGATGTAAATGATCCAGCCTCACTTTCCAACATCCAATTTCTAATTCCTCTTCCAATCCAGAAACCATCGAAGCGATCCACATCATGCCCATATGAGCTAATAGTATGATACCCCCAGTCATCATGTTGAATCCAAATCCATTCAATGAAAAAGTCGAAGAATAACATATGGTAGCGAGGATGTTTATCAAGTAATCAATATGGTAAAGAAACAGCATTGAAAACTGGGATACGATACGGGGCGACTCTCATAAATGCTATAGGGCTAATTGTGTCATTGCATCCTTGGTTCCTTGGTTGCTGCCGGCATAAACATCCTCCATCCTTGATTCCAAACCCCGTGCTGCATGCATTGACTCGAGTATTGCAATACCATCCATGGCTGTAGAAAACACCGTTCGTCAAAGACGTGAGCTCTTTTTGTCAATTCCATCCAATCCATCACCATCTTCAGGTGCATCCACGTGGTACGATTCATCGATCCTGCTGATGACGCGACAAGTAACCAGAGCAACATTCCAGGATTCCTTTTTCGTCACTGCACTTGATTGCATCCATGATAACCATTGCAAATCCATCATGTTGGCTGAAAAGAGCCATGTGATCGCTGCTGATATGCTTCCTTTTCCATCCTGATGCTGATCTACCACTTTTTTGGTTACTTTCGATGCTGTTCCACCAGGCGAAGATTGTTTGTATTGCAACGTTGTTGATAGCTGATATGGCATCATCCATTGGTATCCGTATGTATCGAAGCAAGTTCCTGCCCGTAAATAAAGCTGCTTCTATACGATGGCTATCTGCTGTTCACGTAAAAAAGGCTGCAATACAAGGATGCTGTTCGAGACTGAAGTAAAGACCTTCCTAATAGCGATTGGTGTAACATTTGGTTGTGGCAGAGGAGTATGCAAGAGAGCGTGTGTTGTAGTAGAATGACAAGGTTGTGAACGTTGTTTGAGGCAATGGAGTAAAGACCTCGCTAATAGCAGCTGCTGCAACGAATGCTGTTACGTTTGCTTGCGGTAGAGGAGTGTGTAAGAAAGTGCGAGTATCGTCAAAGGCGTGCGTCGTGGTGGGTGTACACGCCATGGACATGTCATTCAGTGAAAGACAATCGGATCAAGACAATCGTAGACTTGACATGATGGGTTGAAGCAGGGCAATCATTCGCAGGTGGTAGTTGTATGTACTTGAATGGGGCAACAGTTGAGGACGGGAGGAAGAGAAAACGAGGAGGGGGAGTGGAAGAAATGGAAATTAAATAGGTCATGCACTGCCCTACAAATGCATGAACACTGTACATCAAACCTTGATATTGAGATTGCCCCTCTCGAACCTGAATCTTTCAAACAAGGTGCTCTCGGATACGTTGATCAACCTTAGTCTATAAAAGACCCAATGCTTCATTATGGAAATTTTTAATGGGAGGGTATACGTGTAAGAGAGACTATGGACGAACGAGGCTATACGGATGCTGAAGTTACTTGTTCGCTGTCCAGAGTGCTGCTCTAGGGTAGCAGCTTATTACAGAGGCTGTATCCTATTATAAATATGGCATCCAAAACTACAATAGATCATGCTACCTTGTATCATAGCAACGCGTCTTTCTTCGCTTACCTTTCACGGATGGTAAAGGACTGCAGGTTCCTGTAAAGATGATAGTACGAGGTTTTAATGTGTTTGTTTAAACGTGTAAACTTATAGTAAGATGATTACTCCATATGTTAAGTCATTCAACGAGAAACAAAAGCGTACAAGCGAAGCGAGCTATCCAGGCCGCTAGTCAAACTCTTTATCATGTTTGGAGTAATATAGCCATCATCATGCTAAACAAGGATGCAATCATTTCGCTATCATACGTCTAATAGTTGCCTGCCTTGATTGCGTAAACTGGACGCTTGTTTGGATGCTCTCCCAAATTCCACAACTCATCATTTTGCTTCCTATAAGCGAGGTCTTCACATCCAATAGATAAAGCGCCTGTGTGTACTTTTGGTTCCTCTCCAACGACCCACGTATACAAATCACCAGCTTTGCTAGCGCCACGGCTGCACGAGAAGTAGTATCGGCCATTGATGGATGTGGCACCTTGCATTGATTTGAGACCCATATTGTAGTACTCTGTAGCAGTTGCGGTGGTTCCACTTGAATGCTTCAAAAGGCGTGTCTGGTAATCAATATCAAAGCGGACGATGCGATTCTTGGTTCCATTAATGTCATATTGGCCCATGATGATGGAATCAGGCGAGGTGGTACGATCCAAGCTGATAAAGCTGTAGTTGAAGTCCTTGGCTTCAGCGCTCTCTGCGAGATAATGGCTATGTATGCAATAGTGTTTAATCAACATGGATGACTTGTTTTCCACAAGGTTTCTGCTCACTTACCCCCATTGCGGTATGACATACCTAATAAAAGTAGCATGATGAGTGTGAGGAAGCTTGCATAGCCACCACTCATAGTACTATCATGAATGACTTACTTGTAGTTGTATGCTTGGTATTTACCAGAGCCAACGTGACCAATCTTATCGCCAATGCTCACCTCATAAATGTGATTCAAATCGAAGATACGGATGCCGTTATTGGTGTCAACGACATAGAGCTTGTCACCATACCACATGATACCACCTGCATGCACCTTGACAGCATGGAAGGATACGGTGCCTGATGAAGTTGTATCAGGTACCACCAGCAACACATTGCGGTACTTGTTGTTCTTGGCGTCAATGAAAGAGATGCGAACCCCTTTATTGACACCGCCGATCTTGTCGTGGTCGTACCAAGATGCCAGGATGATATCGTTTTCACCATAAGTGCCTTTGTCGTATGCATCGGATGAGCTTGTAATGCCCTGTGGATACCATTTTGTAGTCCCCTGATCATCATAGCCAGATTTCTTATCCCATCTATAGATATGGATTGGGGGATTTTGTAAGGATGGTGACATTACATACCCGCATTTGAATGTACAACAATGAGAGCTTACGTGAAATCCTTTACAAAGTTCGATGGTCCTGAATATGACTTCATAGGATGGTTGGTATCGGCAATCACCTTCGCTACACTGATATTGGGCAAAGCATCATCCAACTTGGCAATGAGATCATCGTAGCGATTGGGGTATCCTTTTAGCGTAAACTTGGATGCGTCCAGTGTCTCATAGGCAACAACAGCGGTTGTCAACAAATGTACGGATACGAGTGTAATGCCAGCCTTGATCCACTTCATGCTGTAAGGAGGAGGAAGAAAGACAATAAATCCCTAGCAAGGAGAAGAGCCGCGAGTCGTACACATGTTATATAAGATTTTTGAATGCGTGGCTGTGTTTCTCCTTCTTTCCATGTCACGCATTAAATTCTGAATGCAGTACACTTTTCTGGTGGATCACCGGAAATAAGTTTCACATTGCATTTTCAACCTTGATGGTGAGAGAATATGCGGTGGTAATATACCAATAATTAAATGCTTACAATGTGCAAGAGTGTCACAGGCACAATTTGGAGATGTGTGTAATCCTGTGATTGCTGACGTGTGTCTAGAGCACGGAAACCTTACATGAGGAGCATTTTCAGGGTCGCACACGCATGCCACTTTTCACTTGTACGCCATAGATCGCCACTTAAACTCGCATGATATTTCATGTGCCTGCATAATGACGATTGTTGTTGTACACAGGATGTTGGTTCACGACATGCCTACCATTCTTGTATATGCATTGTGCATTCATTGGATAATAAGGATGCCGCTCATTTGAATACCTGGTTTACCACGTCCTTGTAAATAGAAGCTGCACACAACGATCTCGACTTTTCGGAATTTGTGCCTTCCCCATGTACTCCAACAAGGATCTGTGCGACCATAATAATATTCCAGATCCCAGGGAATCAGTAATTTGTTGGTGATTACTCTTCCTTTGGGATCTTGAGAAAGGTGTACAGCAACCTCGTATATGGGTTGCCTTTTGATACGTATGTTTGATCTACCCAACTTTGGCCGTGCCCTGTCAACAACAACCCCACATCCATGTTCAGGTAACCCTGCACTCTGTATTAATGAGCTGCTATTACACAAGCTTTAGGTTTAGCCGACGTGGAGCGGGCATCTGTAGACGACTACTGTAAAGCACAGCGCCTTATAAATTTACGTATTGCTGGTTGCTCTACCACCAACGACATTTACAACGCCTGATGCCGTGTATAGGAGAAAAAGTTTTACGCACTACTGCACCTTTGTGTTTTGTTGCTATACGCCGATAAGGTACGTTGTATAAAAAAATCGCCATCCAATTCGCTGCGTATACCAGTCGTCAGCGTTGGTCAAGCACATTTTAGTGAAATGGGATCTCTGCTGCCGCATATAAACCTTGTCACCATGACACACCACGTGGTTTTATGATGATGGCTGGTAGGTTGAATCAGCCAGCTACAAGAAGCTGTAGCCAGCGTTTGCCAAAACTAAATCATGCATTGAACGTCGTTTTCTCAGAAGTGCATGTAGGAAAACGAAAGGGCGTAGCTCTTGTTTGATGCAGGTTTTAGAGACAATGAAAATGGTTGGATCAATGAACCAGTAATATGAGTATGCGTTCAACGTGTTGTTAAAAATAGGGTTTCTTTATTTTCATGTCAAATCATGTGACATGGAAAACCTATGGATGCTATTTAGCTATACATTACAGATATTATTTGCTGCTTCCCCGTATCATTATGACGCATGATCGCTGAAACAAAGATGAAGTGCACAAGATCAGATAACCCTTTGAATGAAAACTCCGGTCGCCCAATGCCCTTTTCGACGTACATCTGATACCTCGTACGTGAACGAGATCTAGTTGCAATTCATGCATACGTACCAAAATCCTTGCGTTGGGTATGTAGAGACAGCGGTTAATCGGAGAGGTAATCGGATTAAAGCATAAGAATGTTTATATGATGTGTTTGTATACATGCTCTTTATTCACGATGCAAGGCTATTAGGTACATCATTGTGTTGATCGGCACTTTTCGAATCATGTGGAACTATGAAACGGGTGGCTGTCTTACAAGGAGTGCGACCAACGCTTAAGTAACCATGGGTTACGTGGATCGTTTTTTGGTTCTCAGCATCACTGGGTATATCTTGAGGAAGAATTACGCTATAGAGGTCCGTGTTCTTGTGTTGCCAAACATCATTTCGATCCGCTTGATATAAACAAGACTGCATACCTACTTATGGACACCTCTTGGAATGAATAAACAATTAAATAAGCGGTTTCCTTGCGAAGGTGGGGGTTCAATACCTTTTCTCTCGCTCCTCCTTATCACTAAAAGTATCCCCATTGCCACTTTCCAGAATGCCGAGAGCAGAAGCGAAAATGCGATTGCAAGCAACCATGCGACAGGTGGGCTCTTTGCAAGGGGTTATGCTTCGAGTTGATTGACCGAGTACCTGCTGCGTAGATGCGAACGGTTCAATTTAAAGTGTGTGTACCTGAAAGGGTTCTCGCCTCGCGATCAAGAGTTCATCCAAATTGCCAAAGAGAAAGAAATGCACTGTGAGATTGAAGCCTTGACGGCCGAGATTGAGTTGCTACAAAAAGAAATGGCCAGCTTGCAGTCTGCAACAACCTTTCAACGACAACCAACGCCACCTTTATCCCATGAAGACAACGACTCGCATAGTCATAGCAACAAATGGACACCACGGGCAAGGACCCCGAGTGCGGCTTATCCCGCTACACCCGAATCGATGGAGACGACGGATGATTCATCATCGATCATGACAACTCTATCACGCAGCACCAAACGACAACGAGTGATCGCGCAGGATGGATCCATGTCAGTGGTCTTATCACAGCAACAGAATCATCAACAACGACGACCTTGGATATTGACTATCAGGAATGGCAAGATGGAGATTGAAACATGCGTCAACACCTATAACGACCTTTTACCACATCTTCATGCAATGACGGGTGCTATCTATTCTCAGGAACATGTCCCTTTCACATTCCACGCTTACTCGACTTACGGAGCATTGATCAAAGCCTTCAACACGATGATCCTCAACAAGTACGGCAAAACAACTTGCAGGAGCTGGGTTAATTCCATGCGCATGATTACACTTTCTTCTTCTTCACCACCATCACCAACTTTAGACAACCATACGATGCCTTGCTCCCAATCCATCGCTCGTTTTATACAACCACTACTCGACGCATATTGGAAATGCAAACATTATCAGCATTTAGCAGTCCACATACCAACATTTATTCGACTCTTTGTGCATCCCTACGAGAACAACAACAATAGCCTTACATCATCACCAGCAGTCATGGCATTGTGTGCAGGCATTTGCTTGTCGTCATGTCAACATACAAGCAGCATTATACCGGCTGGATCCCATCTTGAATATGCACGATGTTATTATGATCAAGCACGACAATTGATAGCCGATAGATTTGACGATCCTTGTTTGGAGACATTTGCGACCTTTGTATTCTTGGCATTGTATGAAATGACAATCGGGCATGATTCAACTTCCGCACATTACACCAACCTTGCTTTGCGTATGGCCAACATGCTACGACCTGAATACACCACTCAAATAACGATGATGAAGGATGACGTACAAGAATCGATTCTATTTCATCGGCTACAGACATTTTTACAGCAAATACGACTATTTGAGCTGGCAACAGACTTTGATAACAATGATCGTGATCAGCGGGAGACTGGATACGCCCGATTTTATGCAGCTTGTCACAATCCCACTGATGAGTGGTGGGTTGCAGCGGATGATGACAGCATTCAGGCGCATGATTTGATTGAGATGCATCGATGCCTTCAGAAATTACGACGTGACATCTACAACAACAGCCGTGTTACCATGACAACCGTGCCAAGGGACCTTGCAGAATTAACAGAGATGGTTGTTCAGCAACAAATCAATCATGTCATGGTTCATTGGTATACGCATATGCTTCCGGATCGATTAAAGTTATCATTGCCTGTCCTCGATGCAATGAACATCCCAGATGATACGTATATGAAAACGGTCGAAAAGGAGACAAAGGTCAAGGGCATTGGTGCTGTACTGGCAGCGTTGGCGTTATACGATGAGGGTCTTTTGATTGCACAATCGTTTTTGCACAAGCGTCTTCAAGGATCAACAACACGGTGGGCGCACTTGCAACAATTTTGGCAAGGTGGAAGATTGATCATGGGTCCTGAAGAACGAAGGAAAGCGGCTGGTACAAAATGGGCACGCCGCATCGACAAGTTACTTTCGGTCAAACCAGTGATTGGATACAGTGGTACCGATGATGAGTTTTTTGCTATGGTGATGGGCGCCATGTTCCCTGAAGAGGAAAGCAAGACAAGTGTGATCTCTCTGGCGATTCAAACAGCGATCAATGCAGTGCGTTTGTTACGGTTCCTGGATGCATCATCTGAGTGGCGGTGCTTTTTCGATATGCGAGTGTTGATGGATGTATGGGTGTTGTTAACCCGAGTTGTCCGATTTGAACGTTATTTGGATGTAGAAGATCAAGCCATGTTACCACGGGTACGCAACGATTTGGAACACTGCTTGACGATGGTCCGTAATAATGCATCTCGCTCTCTACATGCGGCAAACCTTATTGGGAAAATGGAGGAGGAGTACCGTGAGCTCTTGTTGTAACATTTACTCCGGCATCATGTTCATATATTATTACTATTATTATTGCTAGTGTATATACCCCCACTCTCTTGCTTTCTCCCTCTCTTATACATATACCCACAGTGTAAATCTGCGCTGGAATTGGTTCTTCTTGGTCCGAAATGAAATGAGATTTTCTTGTGTGTGTGCAGGTGCATGTTGTTGTATTATTGATGTCTAAAGCCATCCCATATGGCTCTTCTTCTATAACTCTTCTCACACGCAAATCGCCTGATATGTACCTTTTTCTTTAAACCCCTCATGAAACATCGTCCAAGGCAATCATCTCCATGCATGACATGTGCGTAGAAACTGCTCACATGTCCTTCTAGTTTTACCATAGAACACGCTGTTCGCCGCATTACATTCAAAACATGACACACACACACGCACACAAATGATGATCTCTGCAAGCTCTCATGCACCACATCGATGTACGTTTTTCCCTTGGGAGAAAAAGAATTGCATGCACAATGAACACAAGGCGACTCACAGGGGGTTAAAAAACCTCTCGAATATATAAAGAGGATCGCCACATGTGCGGATCTTTCTCATCCCCTGATCACTCACACCCATATTCATACCCATACGTTACGCTCACTGTATACACACCATGCACCTATCAGGCTATGCTGCCCCCATCACCACCACCACGACCAACAACAACACAACATCGATCATTACCCTATCCAAGAAAGCTGGCTTTTGTTCTTGCTGTGGCGTCGATGTCACTCGCTTCAGGTATATACTACATACCATATCTGCAATAAATCTAGCTGAAATGTGTACGTATTTGAATGCCTAGTCATGAATTCTGGTGTCGACACGCCGGCCGATGAGGCTTTCTTTTTTCTTTAAACCATCTTTTTTCATCATCTCTCGTTTCTCCACCTTTATGGCGGTGTAAGATATCACAATCCCACCTTTTCTTTCCATTTTTCCTCTTACATGCTACTACACTACACTACTACTACGACCGCGTATACCTACAATGTTACTCTATATTGCGTGCACGCAACTTTATTATGATAGCTAGCGTTTTTCCCTTCTGTACAGCATGCTTTCTCACAATTCCCTTATGTACAAAATACGTATTTTCCATTTTTCTGTTTATAGCTCCCCACATCCGATGGCGTCAAACTTTCTTTTCCCCTGATTACATAGCAGTATTGTGTACAAAGTTCCATCATCTTGGGAACCAAACTTTTCTTTATACTAAACAAAGCTGCATTGTTATGTCATTGACAGGCATCTCAGTCTCAAACAAACAATGGCGCCACAGATAGCGGATGACGTGTTATATTGAAATGTGTGGTATAATAGACTCTGCTGGTGAATGACAATACAGTGGAGAGTGATCGTGGAGGCAACATTCATATGGTAACATCATGGATAGCGTATTGGATAGAAATGTTTGTATGGAAGAACGTATATTTGAGAGGTAGTACATATGCATCGTATGCAAAGAAAGAGAGAAAAAGAGAGGTTCTTATATCATCGTGCACCTAATAATGTACTCCTTGATGCATTGCAGCAATCATCTACCGACATAAAGAGGAATGATTGAAACGTCATCATGTAAATAAAGCTGCTCAGTATTACAGTAAGAGAATATACACAAGTTTTGCTTTTTTATTATTCACTGCCATCCTTACAATTGGATGATAAAGGGTGCTCAAATGATGTTTAGCCTGTGAATGAAATGTTTGTCCTCGGCCGGCCGATCCGACTCTTTTTCTTGCTATTGCCATTGCCTCCTCCACTACTGCCGGCAGCAGCGGGTGTTTCATCTTCAGGAAGAGTATCGCCACCAGCACTCATAAGACGATCCATTGCCTTGACTGCATCTCCATTATTATTGTTGTTCTTCTTTCGTTTGGATGGTCGTGCTGCTTTACGCTTTTCTTCCTCTTCCGCTTTCCGCTTCAGCTGCATTTGCAAGTTGTTATCCATTTCTACAATACACCTTATCTTTAGTATGCCTGTTCATGCCATTCTCACATACACAGATTGCTCTTTACCTTCATCATCCAATAACAACGAGACAATCTCTCTTGGCTTGAAGTCGACTTGCTTGAACTCGCCACCAGAAATGACCACCTTTTGAATCTAAAAGAATGGAAAAAGATAACGTTTAACAATCGTACAAGCAACAAGGTATTAAAAGCGTCTTGATTTACCTCATCCTTTTGTTTGGCACGTTGCAAGATACGTTCTTCAATAGTGCCCTTGGTGATTAACCGGTATACAGTCACTTGCTTTGTTTGACCGAGACGATGGGCACGATCCATGGCTTGTTGATCCACCGTTGGATTCCAATCACTGTCATAAAAGATGACTGTATCGGCTGCTGTCAAATTGATACCAAGACCACCAGCACGTGTGCTGAGCAAAAAGATGAATATCTCAGGCCTTGTTTGCCAATCTTGCACCATATCACGACGATCCGAGATCTTGGATGAACCATCCAAACGCAAGTACTTGTATTGCTTGTAGTTGATGTATTCTTCAAACAAGTCAATCATGCGTGTCATTTGGAAATACACCAAGCATCGATGTCCTTCGCTCTTGAGTTTCTCCAACAATCGATCGAGGGTAGCAAGCTTGCCGGAATCCAAAATCAAATCACGCATTGCAGGAACACGCATCATTGAATAGCCACTACCAGATGAATTCACTGGCATAATACCCTGTCCATCCGATTTGCGAACAATGGTTGACAACGTCATCGCTTCAGGTCGTTCATGGTTGCTAATGTATTGTGGTTCACCAAATAGGCATGCTCGCACTGATGGATCAAACATGATATCCTTTTGCTCATACGCAAATGACCGATCATCGCAAATAGCATCCACAGGAACAGCTCGAGCCTATTATAGAATATGAGCATGAATGTAATAAATCCAATGAGTGGTATCATCTTACCCCTGGGATATAGCAATTATCGAATTTGGACGTGAGATACTCGGTGTAGCCACGAACATTGGTAAGGTGATCCATAGGTCCATTGGGTGTAACAGATAATCGGCATGTAGGTGACATGGTATCGGTGATAAGGAAACGGGCAAAGGTGTTGATAGGTGCATCATCATAGCTAAGCACACGTATTCTCTCGTTTAGTTTATAATCACAACCTTTCCCATTCTTTGATTTCTCACCTTTCACCATCCTGGTTGGCATAGAAACGCCGCCGTGAGCGGTTGTCACGTTGTGCAAGGTGTGCAATCCATCGTGCAACCAATGATTGTTTGAAAACATAGCTTGCTTCTTGGGCAGATGTGTCAACAAAGCGGAGGAAAGAAAATGCAGGATCTAAAGTTACCCATGTAAGTTACATGAACGCTCGATTTGCAAAGTACAAAACTCACCAGAGTCATCGGAAAACATGGATTCATGAATGTAGTCAGGGTTCCATATGTTCATAAGATTGTCGAGGTATCGGGTCGAGAAACCAGCATTGGATCGTTCTCCTGGTGATCGTAAAATGCCTCCATCTCGATACAAGTGCTTGGGAATATGGAATTTGATGTGGCTGCGAGAGGAATAGGGACAATATAAGGATGTTTCTTTGCTCAAAGCACCGCTTTCGCTGTAGGCACAGAATGAAAGGGGCGAAACGACATCAGCACGCTCGAAAAGCTCGGGATGATTGCACACCTATAAATAAAGAAATTAAGTTTCATATGTTGACGTTGCCACAAGTGCTCGAAAATACCTTTCTGAATTGCATCACAAGGTTCATAAGGCTATCCATGCTCTCTTCGTTGAGTGACGTTGCCTTTTCGAGGAGCTCTGAAATAGAAATCTTCTCCTTAAGACCTCGATACAAGGCACGTTGCCTGGCTGTCAGATCACAATAAATCTCAACTTCAATCTAATAGTGTGGATGATGAGCATCATAACATAATCGCCAATGGGGTTGATTTGGTAATTTACCTTTTCACCAAGCTCATGTTGGACATTTCGTTTGATACGACGCAGCATAAATGGCTTCAAGATCATATGTAATCGCCGCAATTGATGCTCATTAAGGGTGCCCTTGTTCTCGGCATGACTCTCAATATCCTTCGAAAACCATTCACTGAATTCTTCATGCGAGTCGAATAGGGTTGGCATGATAAAATGCAAAAGAGCCCACAATTCTATACATCACGTATTAATTTCAAATCCACAAATCCTTTCAAATGCATCGATTTACCTTGCATGCTGTTTTGAATAGGAGTACCCGTCAACAGCAGTCGATTACGGCAATGGAAGCCGAGTAGCTGTTTCCATCTTGCGCTTGACGAGCTCTTGATAGCTTGTGCTTCATCCAAAACCATGTATTGCCATTTGACACGCTGAAAATAGGCGACATCGGTGAGAACCTATGGTACAAAAGGACAAGGTTAATGATCATCGTACAAGATAAAGTCAACTTTAACGTACCAATTGATAACTTGTAATAACCACGTGGAAAGGAGCGTCTCGACCATATAGCTGCTTGCGATTCCAGAATTGACGTAGCACTTTACGATCCTTGGGATTGCCCCAGTATGGGAGTGCCTAAACAAGGACGATTAATTCCCATGAAATAAAGATCCATCTATGCTTCCATCATCGACTTACTCTAAAGGAGGGGACAAACTTTGAGACTTCTTGCTGCCAATTGTGTAGCGTAGAGGAAGGTGCAATGACGAGGAAGGGGCCCCAGATGTTATGGACTTCTGCAAGATAGGCCATCAAAGAGATAGATTGCACTGTTTTACCGAGACCCATTTCATCTGCCAAGATGCCATTGATGCCTTGCTCGTACAAGTTGGCCAACCAATTAAGACCCTTAAGCTGATAGCTCTTGAGCTGACACATGAGCATAGAGGGTTGCTTGATTTCTTCTGTGCCCATACTGGAAGGATCTTGGAAGTTCATGGTATCCACTAAAGATAATGTTGTCAGCAACCTAGGATACTTTGTCGACTCATCTTGACAAGAAAATCACTCACATTGAGCTGCACTCATTGAAATATCAGAGGCATCAGCGGCTGCACGACGCTCACGAGCACCTTCATCGAATGCACGAGTACGTTCTCTTTGCTTAGCCAATGCATTTTGTGCACTTCGTCGAGCGTGTTCACGTAACTTGGCTTCGTCATCTATACATGTTGATTGTCAACCACTCTTGTTCCTATGATTGCCACCATCCATCCTATATACATACCATCATCAAAGTCAATCTCTTCCAAAGCTTGTTCTCCAGCAGTTGGATCGATATCTTCATCATTGTCTTCAATGTTGACAGTGGGCTCGGAAGCTGTAGCTGCAGGCGTAGGTGGTTCACTAGTAGGCACTGCTGTCTCATCATCCTCACTCGTATCTTGCTTAATCTTGCGACCGATAAAGTGACTGTAAAGCTCCGTTTGAGTGATCAAAAAGTTGAGCTTGCGTGCTTGTCGTTGTGCTTCACGTCGCTCCTCCTCTTGTTTCAATCTCTCCAATGCTTCCTTCTCAGCCTTCTTTCGCAATTCACGCTCTTCCTTTTCATTCTTCTTCCAGAATGCAAGCATCTATACACCCAAACCCATATTAATAAACTATGTCACTCCCTTATTTTCCATCCTCAACAACAAACCTCTTTGGTAGCTCGCTTGGAACGGAGTTGGATATCCTTTTGACTTCGATTACCCTTGGCTGCAGCACGCTTGGCTTCCTTTTGGCAGTATTGTGCAATCTTTTTACAATTGCCTGCGCGTGTAGCTTGTACTCGTGAGAGAATACGTGCCATCTTTAACGATAAACAACGTAAGCATCCCGTCATACTCTTTACATTTTCCCATACTTACTCTTGGAATATCCTTGCGAGCAATATTGAGCCAAATTCTTTGGCGTTCATCATCGATTTGTCGTGCTGACATCTTATCACGCTTACGGAAAATGAGCTGATCTGTGGCATCCGAATCATAATCCTCCGAGTTGAGCCTTGCACGCTTATTCTTCCTCTTGAGTCGTTCCTTGTCCTCTTTGGCAGCCTGTAGCAGCATGGCTGTTGTTGCCGAGATCGTAGAAGATTCATTCTCGCTGGCAGCTTGCTTCACAAAATCAGAGCCATATCGCTTTTCATATATGCGTTGAAGATGATCACTGATTCTTGCATGTCGATGCTATAGAAATAAATCAATATCCAGGAACACACATATACACACACCCTATTTCCTCAACTTACTGCTCGCTTATTCTCATAATCTTCAATCACACGCTGCCGTCGTCTATGAACCTCGATCATGTATTGTACCATTTCATCCCGATGTGTATCAAAGATCTCTTCATCATCATCATCCGTAATTTGTAATTCCTCAAGCGTCTTTTCTGTTAAGCTTTTCATGCGTGGCACCTCGTGATCGCTTAATTCGTCTCCTGATGAATCATCACTCAATTCAAATCGATGGCGGATTTGTGGTACTCGGCTATCGGCGATACCATTGGTCACATGCTCATCAGGTCGTTGTGTTGCATATTCATGGCTTTGTTGTTGTTGTTGTCCATTCATAGTGCTCTGTAATCCTGATCCCATCTAATAAACAATTGCCCCCTTTTTGTCAGCTGCTTGTGACAATGACCCAATTTCCACACACAATTACCTGTTTGTCATGGTTCTTTGTTGTAGGAGTTGCAATAGCGACACCACCAGCACCTTGTGAGATCAATGGAATATCTTCAGTGTCTGTATCAGAATCAGCCATTGGTTGTGCTGCTGCTGCTTCTTCCGATTCATTGTTGAGCAAATTGCGGATGCCGTTGCTACGAAATGATGGTTGCTGTTGTTGCTGCTGCTCAAGCTGTGATGAAGGTTTGGCTTCGGGTACAGTTTGATTCTCTCGCTCAAAAGTTTGAGATTGTGACAGTGGGCTTATACGCACAGGTGCAGCTGTGGATGGTTGTTGAGGGGGACGTGGTGGTGCATCTGATGACAAGAGCTGTGAAATAGACATGACAGGGGATGCCGTGGATGTTGGAGGTGGAGCACGATCAAAGTGATATCCAGCCTATAATAACAAGTTAATATTTCCGAATCGTTCCATCTCTTTTTTTCTTTTTCTTACCTGTGGTGGAAGACGTCCATGATCCTGGCCCACGTGTGGATGATGCGATGATACCTATTGGATTATAGAGATTAGCTTTATATACATGTATACGCTTGTTGTTATTGGATAGTTACCGCTTCCGTTGGTTTAGAATGTGCCGATGAGCGGATTGGATCAAAGGGCGGGGCATTGCTGGTGGCCATTGGGGGTCTTGGTAGTTGAAAAGCAGAGTTGGAAGAAGAAGAAGGAGGAGGAGGACCCATATCATGAGGCAATGGCAGTGAAGGACCACCCGTTGTTGTTGTTGTTCCTGTTGAAGCTCCTCCACTAGGATGTGCATAATCTCTAGGCTGAAACGGTGGTGGAGGGGGTGGTGGTTGTTGAGGTGGCTGCTGTGGTTGTTGTGAATGATGATGATGATGATGATGGCGTACAGGTGAACCAGCCTAATCAAACATAGGCATGAGTGTCTTGTAACAAGGTGTATTGTATGTATACATCGCGTCTTAAGGTATACTTTACCTGACCCAAGGGTGGATGTTGCTCCATATAGCGTTCATTATAGTCCCACGACTGTTGAGAAGGTGGTGCAAAGGAACGTGAAGAAACAGGCGGATAAGGAGGTTCATGACGTGCTGAATAGTCCACCTGATGCGTAGTTGGATAAGACTGACGATGCATGGCTGACGGTGGAGGAAGTGGTGGCCCTGTGAATGCACTTGATCCAGTTGTTGAAGGACCATTTCCAAAAGCATTGTCCCGTTTATCGCTGTTGGGCGATGTTGCATAGTGTCCAGGTGGAGGATATACACCTTCCTGTGGTTGTTGTTGTTGTTGCTGCTGCTGTGGTGGAGGTGGTGGTGGCCGTTGTTGCTGCGACATGTTGTGATGTGGCAGATTAGATGAGGTGGGTTGGCGAGACATTTACATGCACGAGATCCAGAGAGATCAGTACTAGATAAGGTGCTGTTGTAAAAGCAAAGGATAAAAGGGAGTAAGAAGAAGCTTGTCTGTTTTGAAGAGCGTCAAGTAAACGAGAGCGACAAGACACACACACGCACACGCACATACATACACAGCAGCTGGGTGCGACAACGATAGTATTCCGCACGTCACTTTCCAGCTACCCTTTACTTGATTGGAACCTCTTTTTGAACATCCACTTACACTATACCACCCATATTGAATACAATAATCATCACTTTTTCTACCCTCCCCTGAAATCATCTTTAGAATAAAATGAGTTTTCTTTATGCCATGGACTACCTTTTATTGTCCTCAGCTTATCATGGGACCAACATGGCTGCTGCTTTGAAGAAATACTTTGTGGTGTGGTCTTTGCTCAAACTCGCGAGACAATTGGTCAAATTGCCCTGAGCTCAATGTAACCCAACCCATCCCCCCACCCCACGCCACCTTCAGATCAATCCCAATCTTCTTCCAAGATATAAAAATCATCTCCCACAAGGACCTACAATTCGATCTTGGCTGATACCAACGTATGCATCCTAGCATCGTTGTTGTCTAACCTTGTCTGTCGTTGACATCGACATGTGTCAATTTGACATCGGTTGTACAACAAACGTAGTATAACCCAGAAGAATGACATTAACCACCTTTTCCTTATTATGATATTCCATCACCTTTAGCTGTATTGCATTTGGTTAAGTTATTCCACCTATACACGAGTGGGCTCGTTGTTGAACCTTTATACATATTCTCCTACCTAAGAAATTACAGGCATGAACGAAGCAAAGGGGTATTGGGGCTTATGTTAACCTATCCACTCATCCAATGATAATGAAACGCCTTCAAGGCTGATGCATAAAGTACACTTTTGGATACTCCTCAAATCAAAGCTTACATGTATTATGATGAATGATTGGGGTCAATGCTAACCACATGTTGTCGTATGTAAAGCACTTTTCACAGCCAATGAGCATCATGTGGACTTACAAGTGTGGTTGTGGATAGATGATCGTATGCGACCTCCATGTACTATCAATTGCTTTTCTTTATTCTCAGACAATGAAATTAAAGGGGTGAATGAATAGGTTTTTTGATGCATGAAAACCCATGCATAGGAATAGTCGGTTTCGTGATAATAATGATGCCCTCTCCTTTCTTCCATTATGTACATAAAACGTTGACGATGTTGTGTGTATTTCACTAGCATAGATAGGTGACCGAAATGGGGTATATCTGTTCCCACGTGTGAACGGGGGGTTCATTCATGAAACGCTTTGATGGTCTTTTTCGATCACGTATAAAGTAAGCCTTGTAACCATGATGTGTGGGGGTGGATGAGTAATCAAGTGTAGAATGAAAAAGCAGATGTCCGGTGTTGTGGCCGAGACAAGCCGGGCCGGCATAACCCACGTGTGTATATATGGAGGAGAATTGGAAAGATTGCGCCATCCTAATTCGTTAATCCATTGGTGGCGTCCAAAGTCCGCGTTTTCCATGTATGTTGTTGTCGTTAGCTGACAAGCAAAACCTTTGCTTCTTGTTTTCCACAACTCTATTTTTCACCGAGCGATCTCTCTTTTAGTCGAAATGCCGGCTCAAGCACTCACAACTACAGTACCGCCATTCCAAAAGCTGGTCTTGTTTTCGGGCAACGTTATGCGTAGTAGCGTAGCCGGACGTACCAAGGCCGTCAACAAAAAGGGAAACGCAGAGGTAGAGTTTGTTTTTTTTTGCTGTTGGGATGATACATACAATACAAATAGGATGGGCAAAGAGATATGTATGTATATATGCGGGATCATGATGGGCTTATATCTATTTGTGTATGTATAGCTGCTTGATGCAATTAATGATACGCTCCGAACATCGCTCGGCAATCCCACTTCTCAGTCATACCGTTATTGCAACGATGAGTCGCTTCTTGAAGTACCAGATCTTCGATTCGAAAGTCGGATATTGCCGGAGGATCGAAGCGACGTTGAAGTCACAGGTTGGTGATAAAAGGAAAAAGAGTGGATCATCATGATCTAACATTGAGGATATAGCTAAACTTTTCATTCTGGACCAAAATGAGACCGATAGCCACATTGATCAAGCATTAGAACACTTGCGAAGGCTTTTGGGAGTGGAATACATTGATAACTTTATTCTTTCGATTGGATCAGCGACATGCACAGCACCATTGACTCAAGCTTGGAAACGACTCGAGACGCTGCATCAAAAAGATACACTCGGCAAATTGGGTGTAGCCGAGCTCACTGAAGAGCAGCTTGAAAAGATCCTCTCCGACGACGCCATCACCGTGAAACCATCAGTGAACCAGATCAATGTTTCTCAATGCTGCAATATGCCATCATCCATGATCACCCTTGCCAAGAAACATGGCGTAGAGTTGCTGCATAACGGAGATCGATCGGGTAAGTTACCAGCGTTCCTTGCATACATGGACTTTGCAATAACATTGAATGGCGTATATCAATAGATATCCTGGATACGGCCACGTTATCCAAGATCCTTCAAGAGCATAATGTGATCGATGGTCAAGGAACCGTGGCACCACGATGGGTTCTCAAATACCACGTGTTTGTGCGATGCCGTAGCATTGTCAGAGATAAGGGGTAAGCATAAAGATGCATTTTTATGTCCACCGGGTCTTACAGGTATTGATGATTATGTTTCCATAGATACATTGTCGTCGGTGATACACAATCTTCATGACGACCTTCACCAAGAAGCACTATACACGATAACCCCTCCACATTACATGCACGCACCTTTATATATAATCCATGCCACATCATTTCCATTACCAACGCCGCGACACTTTCCGCCATTTCCCTCTATTCGAATCATTATAGAATAAACAACTACTACGCAAGAATAACATCCAGAGAGAAAACAGGCATTAAGAACTGGGAGATGGTCTTATTGTAAAAAGAAAATTGGTATAAGAAATAGCAACGAAAATAGGGCGATGTGTGTGGTAGGAGGTGGGGAAGGGAATGAAGAAAAGGAGATGATCATATCGTGCAATTCCCTCTTGATGTTTTTACAAAATCATACACTTCTTTTGTCTCTTTGGAGGTGGAGCCGGGCAAAGAACGGCACGGATTGCTTCGTCAAAGACGTTCTTAAGACCCTTTTGTGTCAGGGCCGAGCATTCGAGATATTTGACAGCACCAATCTCTTTTTGCATTTGCAAGCTTTGAGAGTAAGAAATAGGTGCCATGTGCTTTTGGCGGAGTTTTGCAATCGTTTCTGGATCTTCCCGAAGATCGAGTTTGGTGCCAACCAAGATCATAGGTGTATTGGGAGCGTGATGACTGATTTCAGGATACCACTAAATAGATACGATACATTTAGTCCTACTTGTATCCACTTTTTGATCCAACTCCATTTACCTTGGTCTTGACATTTTCAAACGAGGGAGGGCTCACCAATGAAAAGCAAATCAAAAAGACATCGGTTTGAGGATAAGAGAGTGGACGCAAACGATCATAATCTTCTTGACCAGCCGTATCCCAAAGTCCAAGGTTGATTGGCTTTCCATCGACCATCACATTGGCAGAGTAATTGTCAAATCTAGAGTAATAAATGTAATCAGCCCATGTATCCATGCCAACCAATCCGTATCCACGTACACTGTAGGGATGTATTCACCAGGAAAGGCATTGGTTGTATAAGAGATCAACAGACATGTCTTGCCTACGGCACTATTATAAAAGATCAATGAGTACGTGTCAATGACCATAACAATGAATCATGCCCTCCCCACATAATGACACTATCCTCCTCGTGAAACAACCCTCACGCGCACTTGCTCCTCCTTTCATCCATCCCTTTCCTCCAATCCCTTTTTGTTCCCAATCATGCTGACATGTTGCTGGTATGCTGCAGTAGTAGTAGACTGTATGAGTGGGATCATGTAAAATAGTGTGCCTGGGTCGAAAACGAGTTGCTGTATTTTGGCGAGCAGAGACAACCAATCCACCCTTCGCTTCGAGATTGCAGCCGTGATGATGCGAGCTTCTTGTATGTTCGGTTTCCACTCCATTGTAGCCGCCAAAGCGATCGCATGTTGCATGACAGAATTCCCCATCTTGTTCCTTCCTCTCACATACATACACACGCACACACATACCCACACACGGTTGACACCTGAAAAGACAACAAGAAATAAACTTACCCATCGCCAACAACAACACACTTGATAGCTTGCATAGTATAACGGTTTTTGGGGGGGGATTTCTCGGGTTGAAAGCAGTAAATGAGTGAAAACGGTTGAAGGACGAGGTGGTGTGTCACGAAAGGAGCAATAAGGTGGAGGGCGAAAACTAAAGCGATTGATGTGAGATAACCCCCCTCTTGACTTGTTTGGCTAGCGCGCACTTAAGGAAATTCACTTGAATCCCCGAGACAAACATGTCAACGATATCAAAGCCTCGTGAAGGCTCATTGTCATCACGTAACCTCTTATCCTCTGAATTCAATCCTGTCAATGAGTCTGTTCTTTATATTTTAGCAACAAGCTAGGAGTCCCTTTCGAAGCATGCCATATTTCACATGCACGCGTAAAAGCGCCTTTCGCTCGCTTTGTGACGTCGCTGTTTCAAATAACCAAACACCATTCTGGCACATCCGTAGCATCAACACTTTTTATCGAGAGGAAGATTGTCATCATGCGTGGTCCCTGAATGATGCCAATGTTTAATTTCTTTATCGTTGATCTCCCATGGTTCGATGTAGGTTGACACATTTGCATAAAAAGAGGGCTCCGTATCGGACAAGATGATACAATCGCAATGTTGAGCCTTTCCTTTTTTTACATTGAATTCTAAATGTATTACCATATGCAACGCACAGCCGTGGTTGCTTAATTACAAACCAAAAGAATGTTCAGGGATTTGACAGCCAACTACATTCACCGATCGTTGCTTGTACGTACATGTGTGGTCAACAAGAAGAAGAAATCACGTTGCATTAGTAGTATTAAAGCTGATGACAATAAAGCTTGCTCCTTGACTTCCCCTCTTTTTCTTTATCCCTGTTTGATTGTCACCTCGAATGAAAGAGAAAAGAATGCACGTGTGGTGATCTCATCATCATTGTTAACAACTTCCCCAGCATTTCATTGCTGACTCCCGCCTTTAGCTTATACCACGCTTCTTTACAACATACTCTGATCCCTGAATGCCAAGCTTAAGGGTGCAACATTCACGTATATCAAAACACCCTGCCAAGCATATACACGTCAGCGAGATACATAACACCCTGCCAAGAACAAGCAGAAAATGGCTGCCCTGGGTGTCTTGGCATTATAACGATTACATCTGAAGCATGTTAAGAATATGGAAGTTTCCTTTGTATGCGGTGTTAACAATGCTTACACAGAGATGAAGAATCTTATTACCTCCTGTGTACCGCGAGCATGGTGTGTGTGTGTGTGTGTATGTTTGGTATTGGATGCAGCTGCATGAATTGTGCATCATGCATGAGAGAAAAAGGAAGGCTGAGAAGAACCACAGGATCTGCGAGTAACAAATAAACACATCTATCGTCAACAAAACATTACATTGGCTCTCGCACTGACGGTGGGAACAGTAATTGGCATTCACTCACCTCGTCAATGTTGTTGTTGCGCTCAAATATGGTAACAACTTTTGGCTGTCAATTCATTTAATGGCAACATGGGCCAACAAGAGTGCGATCGACAATTTGTTTTTACATAGTGCAAGGAGTTGACCTTATTTTACGTCTGACTGCATGTGGATGCTCTATGTGTGAAGCGACAAGGGAGTGCGTGGGCGTCGTCGCCCACTGAGGCATGCCTAACAATGCTGTCAATTACATTGATACAGCGGCAACCTGAAAGTGCATAACAAATGGCTACGTACATGAAGGTCATGGTCACCACAAGTAGTACACGTGAAAGCTATTACAGTCATTAACATCATCTCCCAGGCTTTTCAGGCTTTTGCGTTGATGCAACTTTTTTTTCTGTTGTGGCAAATGCATGCAGCAGAAGCATCCCCAAAAGATCATCATCATAACCATCGTTTCATCCCTATGGGTCTGGCCCGACCACACATACTTACGTTTCTTGTATATAGACATGGACCCATATCATGATGACGGGTGACAACAACAGGTTGACTACAAGGCCGTCATCTTCATCACCACCATTATTATCACCACCGCATACTCCACTCCCCCCTTTGCGCATTTGCCAAGAAGAAGATTACATATTCAGAATACCTATGGGGGTTTTGGTTATCACCAAAGTTTCCAAGGGGAGTGATATATGATCAACAAAGGGGTAGTGATGATGATTACGATATTGATGAGGATGATGAATGATAAAGATGAAAGCAAAAAAAAAGGTGACCATCCAAGTGTGGAGCACCACCATGTTGTCGTTGTACTTAATAGCCTACTATAAACCCTGATAGGATCGACCTATATGTCATACCAGATTAGATTGGCGATAGCAGCTTTGGATGGAGTAAGCATACAATTTGGCAATTGTTTCTTAATGAGCAAGAAGGTTGTCAGGAGAAGAAAACGCATGAGGAGGAGGAGAAAGATGGTATTGCCACGTTACAGGTACATTCTCATCTCGGTTGAGGATTACCGCTGTTTCCCGCGGATCGTGTAGTAGTGTGCGTGTGTGTGCGCCCTTCTCTCCTTCTTGGTGCAGGTACAAACCCACCTACCCACCCACACATTATGCATCCATTTATGCACAAATACTGCTTTGCTGCTCATCTTGTTGCACACCCCTTTTTTTCGCCACTGCAATGTATCCGCTTTCTTTTTGCTCGCTCCCTAAATAAATATGTGAGAACCGGCAGGATCAGTAGCACCTAACGCACAAATATAAATATGGTCTTGATCCCCACCCCTGCATCCTTAGTATCACTTTTTCTCTCTTCCTTTCTTTCCCCAAAGTAATAATAACCACCATGGCCTATCAAGATCAAGAAGAAATCGAATTCCGTCAAGAGGTATGTAAAAAAGAGAGATGAAGTAAAGGCATGTCAAATGATTGACATCATCAACATTGGGATAGGTTGAACGCGTCAAGCAATGGTGGGCTTCTCCCCGTTTCAGACTCGTCAAGCGTCCTTACACTGCCGAGCAAATTGTATCCAAGCGTGGCACCATGCCTACTAACTACCGATCCAACGAGATGGCTAAAAAGCTATGGGGCATTCTCCAAAACAACAAGCGTACCGGTCAAACTAGCCACACCTTTGGTGCTCTTGACCCTGTTCAAGTGACCCAAATGGCTCCTCATCTTGATACTGTGTAAGTTTATCTCTTTTTTATTTTATCAACAATGACTAACATACACGTGGAATAGGTATGTGAGTGGTTGGCAATGCTCTTCCACTGCTTCTACAAGCAATGAACCAGGCCCTGATCTTGCTGATTATCCCATGGATACAGTACCCAACAAGGTTGAGCATCTTTTCTTTGCTCAACTTTTCCACGATCGCAAGCAACGTGAAGCACGCCTTGCCATGACACCCGAAGAACGTGCACGCACTCCAAAGATTGATTACTTGCGTCCTATGATTGCCGATGCTGATACTGGTCATGGAGGTATCACTGCTGTCATGAAATTGACCAAGATGTTTGTGGAACGTGGTGCTGCTGGTATCCACAGTAAGTATCACCAAGGATAAAAGATGATGATGATACATGATCGGCTAAAAACGACTGTATTGTATAGTTGAGGATCAATCACCTAGCACCAAAAAGTGTGGCCACATGGCTGGCAAGGTGCTTGTACCTGTGAGTGAGCACATCAATCGACTTGTTGCCATCCGTGTGCAATACGACATTATGGGTGTTGAAAATGTGGTTGTTGCTCGTACCGATGCTGAAGCTGCCACTTTGATCACCAGCAATGTGGATGGTCGTGATCATGAATTCCTTGTGGGTGCTACCAACAAGAACTTGTTGCCCTTGTCGCAAGTGATGATGGAAGCTGAACGTGCAGGCAAGCAAGGTGCTGCTTTGCAAGCTGTTGAGGATGAATGGACAAGCAAGGCTGGACTTAAGAGATATGGTACCGCCGTGGCTGAAGAGCTTCAACGTCAAGGCAAGCGTGCACAAGCTACCGAATTCCTCAACAAGATCAAATTCAAGAGCAACGCTGAAGCCCGTGCTATTGCCAAGTCCTATGGCATTGACATCTTTTGGGATTGGGATATGCCTCGTGGTCGAGAAGGCTTTTACCGCTACGAGGGTGGCACTGATGCTGCTATTTCACGTTCCATTGCCTTTAGCGAATACGCTGACATGCTTTGGATGGAAACCAAAAAGCCTGTTCTCGCTCAAGCTGAAGAGTTCTCTCGTGGTGTTCTCGCTGCCAACCCCAACACATTGCTTTGCTACAACTTGTCGCCTTCTTTCAATTGGGATGCTGCTGGTATGACCGATCAAGATATGGCTACCTTTGTTGAAAAGTTGGGCCGTCTTGGATTCGTATGGCAATTCATTACTTTGGGTGGTTTGCATGCTAATGCACTTGCTTCTGGTAAGAAATGGGAAAAGAGAGAGAAAAAAGACAGCTTTTATTGATAGAGAATGATCTCTGTAGGTGTCTTTGCAAAGGCATACAAGGAACATGGCATGTATGGTTATGTGGCCAATGTGCAACGTAAGGAACGTGAAAACAGCATTGATGTCTTGCAGCATCAAAAGTGGTCCGGCGCCAACTACGTGGATGAATTGATGAAGACTGTCACCGGAGGAGTGGCTGCAACAGCTGCCATGGGCAAGGGTGTCACTGAGGATCAGTTCAAGTAAACGCAGCTATCACCCCGCGTGTTGTAGTAATACCTCCACCACCTCTCACCCAATTATTATCATTCATTGTCGCATTTGACCTCATCTCATCCTCTCGCAAAAATCCCTTTGGGATTGTCTAAATCATTTGCTTTAGAGCAGTAACCATGTGTACCACGTGATTAAAAACCTTTCTATGTTACTACACTATGTATGTGTGATTACAGTATAAATGGTGGGGGCAATGTGAGTGAGTGAACGAGCGGGCTGTCACACAAGGAGGATGCATCATTACTCTGCTTTGTTTGAAACAAGCACACCCGCCCTCTTTTTCTTTTCTCTCGTTTTCTTTCATTGAATCCACTACTCCATCACATAGCTCATGGAGCGTTCTTTGACTGTCGATTTGCCGGTGGAACAAGTAGCCAGGGTAGTCAAACGACATCTTGTCTTGCAGCCTGCCAATGCAACGTCGTCGGGGTCCACCGTACAACATGGATCGGAACCGTCGCCGATCGCATCACAGATTCCACGCCAACACCAACGTCGTAGCAACAGCCATAATCGAAAACGTAACAACTCAGAGAGTCGAGCTGGTCGACATGCTAAGCAACAGCAACAAAGAGAAGAAGACCATACAGCGTCACCTGCTCCAAGTAGTACAACTACCACCACTACCACTACTACAACATCCGATATGAATCATCATCCCTCGTCTACTATGCAGGGAGCCATCACCTACAGCAGTAGCAGCACCACACCCGTTTATAGCACACATCATTTATTACCAGGAGGTGCCATTGTGGATGAGATTTACAAATGGACTGCACGTGTGGATAACGAGCAAAGATGGCGACGACAACGTGCTGAATCAATCTCACTTCCAGCGACTCGTCAACCTGTGGATGATCCTTTACTTCAATCCTTGAAACAGCCTGGTGGATTTAGACGACATCATGTTCTTACTCAAGCTGCACGACAAGGCAAATCTCCCAACTTTGTCACTTCAAGCTTTGTCGACTTTTTATGTTTGTATGGTCATTTCGGTGGAGAAGATCTCAGTGACGATGACGATGATGGTGATGATTCTTCATTATCTTCTTATACCTCATCCGATGGTGCTGCAACGGATAGTGCAGATAGCAATACAGCGGCTGCTGGCGGTGGTGGTGGTGGTGGTGGTGTCATGGCTTATCGAGGCAACATGCTCAATCGTGCGTCTTATCAATCATGTGATCCTGGTGAATTACCACTTCCAGCAACAGCTACTTCAGCAGCAGATGCATCCACATCATCCTATACCCGATACCACCACCATCAACATCATTACCCTATTCGATCCACGCATGAGACTATGCCATTGTTGCCATCCAACAACAAACCATCACGCTCAGTACAAGACAAAGCCACACCAGGCAAAGCCATGTTCCTTTTGCTCAAGTCTTTTGTTACAACAGGCATCATGTTTTTGCCTAGAGCGTAAGTTTGCTTACATACATAGTGGTAGTGAAGGAGGGAGCTAATTGGATACGTTGCTTGGTTACCAGATTTTACAATGGTGGTTTGCTATTTTCCATTCTCGGCGTCATTGCATGGGCTTTGATCTCTTTATGCTCGTTCCTGTTATTGGTGCAAACACGATTGGTGGTCCATGCAAGTTTTGCTGACATGGCCGGTGTCTTATATGGACGCAGTATGAAATTGGCAGTTTTATTCGCTATCACACTTTCACAAATCGGCTTTGTATGCGCCTACATGGTGTTCGTTGCCGAAAACATTCAATCCCTGGTATTGGCATTCTCCAAATGCCGTGTCTTGATCCCTATGCATCTCCTTGTCCTTGCTCAGAGCTTTGTATTCATTCCTTTGGCCATGATTCGCAAGATACAACGACTCTCAGTGTTTGCCCTTATTGCCGATGTATTTATTGTGATTGGATTGGGATATATGTTCTATTATGATATGCTCCAACTATCGGATGTGGGTGTCGCCCATGTTGATCTATGGAATCCCTCCTATTTCCCTCTATTCATTGGGACCGTTGCGTTCACCTACGAAGGCATTGGACTTGGTAAGTTGTTGTTATTGTCGTCATGTTGCATACGTATATCAACCAACCAACCGGATATAGTGATCCCGATTGCCGAGTCGATGAAAGAGCCATCAAAGTTCCCAAGTGTGCTACGACGCGTGTTAGGTGTCATTACGGTGCTCTTTATCGCTTTGGGTGCTATTTCATACTTGACATTTGGTGAAGATGTACAAACCATTATTCTCTTGAATCTTCCAAGCAAGGATCCAATGGTGTCCTCCATCCAAACGTTGTATTCGCTTGCCATTTGTCTATCGATTCCACTGCAGCTATTTCCAGCTATCCGCATCATGGAAAATGGTTTATTCACCACGCGATCTGGCAAGAACAATGCGGTCGTCAAGTGGCAAAAGAATGTATTTCGAGTATTGGTGGTATTTCTCTGTGCATGGATTGCCATTGTCGGATCCAAGGATAAGCTTGACAAGTTTGTGCCACTCATCGGTGCCCTTTTTTGTATCCCATTATGCTTTGTCTTTCCACCTTTGTTCCATCTCAAAGCCATGGAAGAGTTAGCCACATGGAGACGCGTTGCAGATGTAGCATTGATTTTATTTGGTGCTATTGGATCTATATTTGTGGCTAGTGCTACGCTATACCAATGGAATTCGGGAGGTGATGATATTCTTGATCCGGTCAAGCAATGTATTGTCAATAGGACATAATGATTCTATATTTACACATGTTCACTCTTTATACCCTCTACTATATCACCCATTAAAGAAAAAGTATGTACACAACATGAAAAAGCTCCCCCCTCGGAAGGATGTGGTTATTGTTGTTTCTTGTCATCTTCGCCATCATGGATAGGTAACTTGACAATAGTTGGATGACCTTTGTTGAGCGTGTCGTCGGTAAGCATCCCCATGGTACGAAATACTGTATGCCAGTTGGTGAATGCCTTGTCGACCTCTATCCATTCAAGTCAATATCTTGCTCATTGGTTTCTACATGTAGACACTTACTTTTTGCATTATTCGATAGGCTTTTAAAGTGCTTTGATAAAGACTCCAACTGTTTAGCCACTTGCTCGCTGTGATTGGCGATCTGCTCCAGTTGTCGTAATTCCATTTGTTTTTCGTTGACCTTGTCAACAATGTGTTGGGGTGCCGGTGTTGTGGACATTCTCGTAGTAGTACCAGGATTGGTATTCACATTGGTGGCGTGTTCGTGATGCGCTGAGCCTTGGGGCATGTTGTTGTGGAGTGTGTATTATTATGAGTGTGTGGAAGAAGGAACGGAATGCGCGTGTGTGTACCTAATTTTGGCTTACTCCTTCCAATGCATCGACTCTGATTTCCGCTTGTCACACAACATCTGGCGGATGTAAATGAGAATTGCATTTGGATATATTGTATATTGTACAAGTTGGTATGTATGAAGGAGGCGAAGCAGTAAAATGTATATGTATGTAAGTGTGGTGTGTGCGTTGTGCGTGTATGCTTTGCTTACTACATTGCCGGTATTTACATCAAGAAAGGAGTAAAGGAGAAGGAGGAGGAGGAGGTGGTGGTGGTGAACAATGTTATATCGAGGTACCATGGTTATGACAATGATGATGGTGATGATGATGAAGGTAGTAGGAGGGGGGATGATGGGATTCTTTTAAAAAAAGTTAGGATCGATTCTCTGTGACAAGGGAAGCAATGTTGGCTGCAGGATTATTATTATGATCTCTCATTTGGCGACGTTGACGCTTCGCCTCGGGCTGTTCTTCATGCAACGGTGGTGTAAGTGGCAATAAGACATGATGTTGTTGCTGCTGCTGGGTATTATTGCGATGGTATCGGGTGGTTGAAGTTGTTGACGATGATGGCTGTGCATTGGTAGTAGCTGTACATGGTGTCATTTTCTCCCTGCACGTACGTTGATGATCATCTTGATAGGATGGTGATCGTCGTTTTCTCAGTGATGGCGTGGTTATGTCAAGCGGAACAAGATTTGAAATGCTGTGTCGCAATAGCTGATCTCCGTATTCTTGGATAGCTTCAAGACGTACATGTAGATCGAAATCACACATAAATAAAAACTCCATCTCCAGCTTGTTAAGTTCTACAAGTGGAAGGCCTCCCACCTAGTAGGTTCATTTCATGTGAGCTATAGCCTATCGCATAAATTGATATTAATGGTGTATCTTACCTTGGCATAGCGTGCATTGGGATAAAACACATCAGATGTAAACTTGGACGCTACTACAATACTACAAACAAATGGGTGAGTCATGGATTAGGGGGATGGTATACATACACAAAACAAAGAGCTACGTACCTTGCAATGAGCAGGCGATGGATGTTGAGTGAATTCAATACAAACTTGGGTTGCAGTTTTGATATTCTGTCGAAATAAACGAGAATGCAGAGCAATGCATCATTGTTATATGGGGTAAACTTTTGGATGCGAGTGAGGTAAGCCTCGATTTTGATGTTGGGCACAGCCCGAGAATGAAAAACAGTGATGCTATTGCATGGGATGCGATCGTTGGTATGTATGACGGACTCGAGCAAACTGGCAACCATTTTGATCAGGGCTGAGATGGGAAAGTCGACAATATCCAAGCAATGTTGACCCATCAAGATGACATGAAAAATAGATGCAACAAGCAATAAAGAGAGATAGCAAGCGAAAGAGAGAAAAGTAAAGCAAGAAAAAGAGAAAAGGAAGAAAAGAAGAACAGGAATGCAAATATTCAAAAGAAACGTTTTTGTAGCTGAGCTGTTTTTTTCAATACAAGTTACCCGACGGAAGACAGCCCGGAGAGCGGATGCATGATACCAGACATAGAGAAACGTTTATTGAGGGGAGGAGGAGCTGCTTTGGTGGATGATCTCTTTCTGGATAAGAACAAAGGCTCTAGGGAAGTGAGCGCTTGCCCTAGAGCGCGTGCGTCACTTGGGCTATTTGGTTGGTCGCTTCCAAACACAGCTAATGTCATGGAATCCACCAAAATGGAAGTCAGGTCGTTGTTCTTTTACAGCTATGAAACAAGGACCCTGACTCTCAAAAGACACCATACGCATCGAATGTGGAGTTGTCTTGGGTACCACGTGCAGTGGGAAATGTCTCCAATTACTCTTTATGGCTGGTCCTGGATTCGCTTTTTCATTCGCCATCCCACATCATTATCAGCTTTAACGATATGCCAATGCACACCACACACATTTTCATGACTCCTGTTCTCTCTCTCTTGTTATGCCGCAATCCTCCCGTCCATTCCCCCCATCCTTCATTCTTTCTTCTCCCGTTAACCCCCATTTACCCCTTTTTTTGCTCTCTTGTGAGATGAAGCCTTTTATCTTTGTACCCTATCGACAACACCACATGGTGCGTCGTTGATAAATGATACATACCCAATACAATGAATAAAGGGGCGTCGTATGTAAATAGACATCATCGTCATTGCTATCATCATCATTATCATGCAGCAACAATAGCTGCGTGTTTCACATGAGCAGGGGGATTCTGCAAACACGCAACACTCACACACAGACAAATTTGATTGTGATTTGGTGCCATCAAATACTACCCAACACAAAGAGAGCGTGGACAAGGCGTGCCAATATGGAGCAATATGACAGGTGAACGTGCTCGTGGTCCATGTGCACCAGCCAACCCTCCTTGTTCCCACACACGCCTATGATTCACAAACTTTACTACGAGGACATGTGCTGTATAGCTAAAAAGATACGAGGTCATGTCTATGTAGCCGTTTGTGTCATCATTCTTGAGTTTGGAAGGACTACCAACAAGGCATTTATATATATCTCTATGCATATGCAGCATGCTCATCGTGACATTTGCCCTGAACAAAGCAATGCCGATCACGCGACAACAGGAAAGAGAAGAAGGGTTGACATGACAGGGGCCGAGGAGAACACTTGCATGGTTACACACTCAATTCATTCACACAGCCCAACTTGCAGATCTGTAAATGGGATCATCACATTTACGGTTGCCATGGTCGTTGGCATGCAACATTGTGTAATTTCTTTTATGCTAAGCAACATCGATCACCATTACTAGTAGTAAGTGGGGGAGTTTATTGACAACAATTACACGGCACACACACACAATGTGTTTGCAATACATGGATACAGGGCCATTTGTAAGGTGCTATTGTGGGGAGGGGGGATGCAAGTGTCATTTTACGCTTCAGCTGTGTCGCCCTATTCGGTGCTTGTGTTCTTTTTAATGCTTTACCAAAAACTCGCCACTGCGCTCAGCACCTATGCAATGTAGGATCTTGGTCTCTCGTTCATCTTTGCATCCTAACTCAACCATGAAAGCAATGAGATTGGCTTCGTTCACGCAACACCCAATGCCGATGAGTTACCAGACGACAGCCAACAATACCTTCCTCTCGTAGTGGTGGATTCCAAGTTGGGCTTTCCTTTACCACACCTTCCCACTTTGTTGCGCGAAGCAGATGATGCCTTGAGGAGAGCTACTACATCCAGTGAAAAGGCGAGCACGAGCAAGATCATGGTGTTGTTGAAGCCTGATCATTACACAGCTATGAACATGAGGTATAGAAGGGGGAGGGCTCGAAAGCACCATCATGATATCAATGCTTTATATATGGTAGGAAGAAGCTGATTATGGAGAAGCAACTTGATGTCAAGGATGAGATCGAGCTTATTGATTTGATATTCACATTGTCGAGACACTCCAAGAGTTGTATTGCATGGCATCATCGGTAAGCAAGCACACGTTCCAATTGCCAGGAAACCTGTCAACTCAACTCCGCTGGTAGACGCTGGTTGTATGCACAATGGCCTGAGATGATGGATCTTGAAAAGGAATTGGCGCTATGTGAACGAACAGCAACGCTCCATCCTCGCAATTATTACGCATGGACTTATCGCGGATGGTTACTCAACAAGTTCATCACTACATCCGAGGACCAGCATTCAGAATACTTGCGAACCCGATTATGGATTGAGCGTAATGTCAGCGACCATTCGGGTATTCATCACATGGCACGTGTGTTGCAAGTAATGGGAAAAGTCAACAAGGATACCCATATGGATTGGATTGATGATCTCATTATTCGATTTCCTGGACACGAAGCCTTATGGTGCCATCGTCGCTTCTGCGCTACGTTCTTTGCTTTGGATGGCCATGGATTTGTGGATAAAGCAATAACAGCTGCTCAAGGAACATGTCACAATGATCAAGATTTAATGCATATGCAAATGGAGCTTGCAATACGATATGGGATATGGCTTTGTCTTATGGTAAGGAATATTGGATTGGGGGTTTCATCAAATAGTAACTTTTTCATTTTGGAAGGGTATCTCGCCAACACGAAAAGAAGAATATTGTTCTCGTCTTCAGGATATACCTTATGTGCGTGCAATTGGCAACAATAAAGAGTGTTGAATGTATAACATATACGCTTTGTTGAGGAGTGCCAGGTTTACTACTACACACAATCATGCAGCCGTGGGTTTGATTATACAACGACATTTATTATCATTGGGGGAAGGAGCAATCATCTTATCATTTATGACCATATGGACGAGAGAAGGAGAGGATCTTTTTGCTTGGGTACTATTCATTGTTGGAAGTGTAGCTGTTCATGGTGGATGAGAGTGTGCTGATTGTCAACTGCTGCATGACAGTGATCACATGGCAAAACACAAGATTCCAAATTAGGATGAGCTGGGCCTTTCCACTGGCGACACGTTTCTTTATCACACACACATACTCGCCATGGTGAAATCAACCATAATCGCCCGTGTATCCGATGGCCTACCTTTGGCAGCTAGCATGGATGACGAACAGGTATTGCTGTAGCAACATTGGTCAACGCAACATGTCGCTTATTGTCCTTTTTGGGAAAAGGTGGAAACTGAGCTTGCTGAATACAAGGGCCAAGCAAAGACTATCTTCAAACGACTCAACGTCAATTCAGAACCAAGATGCTCCATTGAATCGGGCCACTACGTTTTTCAGTAGGTTGACGTTTATTACGAAACACATGAAAGGCTAATATCCTTTTATCAGCTATATCATCGAAGGGAGCGTATGCTATCTTTGTATCTGCGACAAGTCGTATCCAAGGAAACTCGCCTTCAGCTATCTGGAAGAACTCGCCAAAGAATTCAACATGAGCTATGGAAACGAAGTTGAAAAGCCAGGATTGAGACCGTATGCCTTTGTCAAGTTTGGTAAGAGGAAGTGAGTCATTCATACAATAGACATTGATTGACACGTGATGATGCTACTATGTAGATACATTCATGCAAAAGACCAAAAAGATCTATCAAGACACAAGAACACAAAGCAACTTGTCCAAGCTTAATGAAGACCTACAGGATGTTACACGCATCATGACAAAGAATATGGAGGACTTGCTCTGGCGTGGTGATAGCTTGGATCGTAAGTGTTTCTCATATATGGAAGGAGGATGGGTTTCAGAAATACAATGGACTCATCGGTTTTTTCTTGGATAGGGATGAGCCATATTTCTGGAGAACTCAAAGACAGCGCAAAGATGTTCAAGGACAAGGCAAGACATCTTAATTGGCAGGCTCTCTACAGAAAGTACGGACCACCCGTTATCATTGCTTCAGTCATTTTGTTTGTGCTTTTGCTTAGGTATTACGTCTTTTAATAAGAGCAATGGTTTTCAATCTATAATGGGATCATTATTATGTTTTCTCTTGGGGGTTGAGGATGGAGCAAAGGACAATTGATCAATGGGTGGGATAAAGGGGCGTCGCTTTTTTTTGTATACCCTTGGCATGACTTCTTGTCCGCCGCTGCATAAGCTGCATTGTTAATCTTGTTTCTCCCACGTGCTTTTCTCTTTTAATTATGCGAAAGTACTTTGAGCGTTTATATGGCAAGAAAAGTACAACCAAGAAATCACAATCAAACGATCCACCAAAGGAAACCGATCATGCTGCAACAAACAATGAACCACCACCAAGGTTCATACCCATACCTAAAAAGCTAAGAAGTCATAGCTTGTCAGGCTCATCAAGCTGGAGCAATAAATTCAAGTCCTTGTCAAAGATTGGCTCTTCGCACGATTACAGTAGACCTATTGCAGTACCTTCTACCGTTCACCCACCAACAAATGTGATACTATCATCCGCAACCGAAAACGCTTCTACATCGAGTGATCAGCCAGCTTACATCGGGCATGCCGACCCTATCAACAACACTCACATGCCATTAAAAAGGGTAACAACAAGAGTAAAAGACCTGCTATGCGACGACACGCTATTTACTTTTGACCCGTGTGCATAGCCTGTGCTACTATTGACGGTCGGCTTATGCGAGACGTACAACAAATGCAACCCTGATTTCCATTACAGCCCCAATAGGATACCACGGCGAGTGCTAACCAAGCCCAGTGTGCCCAGCAAAAGAAGCCAATACGATAATGAAAAGGGTGATTACATCCTTTGCGTGCATGATGTCCTAGGCGATACCCATGATTCAAAAAGGCAAGTAACATAGGCAATAATAATAACCACCTTCATACGTACGCATCCTCTAATGATTCTTCAGTAGATATGTTGTGCAAGACATGCTAGGCGCTGGCACCTTTGGGCAAGTTGCCAAATGCCGCAATATAGAAAGCGGACGTCTTTATGGTGTCAAAGTGATTAAGAGCAAGGCTGCATACTATACCCAAGCTTTAGTCGAGGTGGGCATTCTCAAATATGTAAGTTGCACAAGGTGGTGTTGTATTATGGTGGGGCTATACATAGTATCATGCGTCCTTACATCAACGCTCTCCACAGCTGAATAGGGAATGTGACCCTAATGACGAGCGTCATATTGTACGGCTGAAGCATACGTTTGTGCACAAGCATCACCTTTGCTTAGTATTCGAGTTGCTTTCCATCAACCTATACGAGTTGCTCAAACACAATCGATTTCGGGGATTACCAACAGCCATCATTCGTACCTTTTGTGAGCAATTACTAGAGGGGCTTGCTACTTTACGAGAAGCAGGGATCATCCATTGTGATCTCAAGCCAGAGAACATTCTTTTAAAGAGGTAACGTGTGGTTCAGGTGATGAGGACAACAAGATATTGATTGGATTACATGGTATGTCATATAGCTTGAAGAGACCCCAGATCAAAATTGCCGATTTTGGATCAGCATGTCGTACCAACGAGCGCCTTCACACGTACATTCAATCTCGATTTTATCGTTCACCCGAAGTACTCATTGGGATGAGGTACTCTACACCCATTGACATGTGGTCACTTGGATGTATTCGTAAGTGTGAGCTTATATGAAGCTGTGCATACATGCATTGACTGATAAATATGGGAATCATTATGCAGTTGCAGAACTTTTCCTTGGCGTGCCCCTTTTTCCTGGTACCTCGGAATACAACCAATTGGCACTTATCACCCATGTTCTTGGGTAAACTATCGATCTGCATCAACAAGGGGAACCACTTAAACGTTAACTTGCATGAATGATGCATTTGTATAGGTTACCACCATCAAGCATGTTGCAACAAGGAAGGCACACTAGACACTTTTTCAATCGTAAAATGATGGACGGCGGCAATATCCAATACGAGCTCAAAAGTAGAAAACAATACATGGATGAAACGCAGCAGGTGGAAAAGCCAAACAAAAAGATTTATTCGACCAACGACTTGATGGATCTCATCCTCACGAATCCCATGCCACGTAAACAAATGAACCCTTCTGAAAAGAATCAAGGTAGGTAGTAGGTAGTAGTATGATGATTAGACAAAGGAAGCTAATGATCACGATTAACATAGAGACACGAGTGAGATTATTGATGGCTGACTTTCTAACGCAAGTGCTTCAATTGGACCCAAGTCGACGCCTCACGCCACACGAAGGGAAATTGCATGGCTTTATCATGTCAGCTCATAGTCTATCTCGTAGTGTACATGATCGATCGCATTTTGGTGGAGCTATGGCAGCACAGAGTACTATTGTGGGATGTGGCGATCTGGAGACTTGTGTGGGTTCCCCTGATAGTAGAGGAGGAGGTGGTGGAGGAGTGAGTCCCAGAGACTCCTCAGCTGATTTGTTACCAGTTGCACCACAAACGAATGACAGTGACTTATTACCTTCATACATGAAGAAAGAGGAGGCCTATTTTTGTGGGATGCCGAGTGTAGCCCGTCGATTTACTCGGTAGTAGTAGTAGTAGTAATAAAAGTGCAGAAAGGATCATGCAATTATAAGATAAAAAAGGGTGTTGATGATGATGATGATGCACCATTTGGATGTTACCGGAATTGGAATTTGATGCGAGGTGTGAGTTTTTCCTGGGTGGGTGGGTGGGCAGCA